TTCTTTACCATTCTGGGGTCCTCAACAGACACTGTCTTTCCCCATTACCAGTCCAGGTCAAATTGCCAGCTCTGGGTTGGGAACTACCTGGAGATTTTGGGGGTGGAGACTGGAGAGGGCGGGGTTTGGAGGAGGAGGAGATTGGATTTACACCCCGCCCTTCACTTGGAGTCTCAGAGCAGCTTACAAACTCCTTTCCCTTCCCCCCCCCCCACAACACCCTGTGAGGAAGGTGGGGCTGAGAGAGCTCTGAGAGAAACTGCTCTTTCAAGGACAGCTCGGATATGGCTTGTCCAAAGTCATCCAGCAGCTGCAAGTGGAGGAGCGGGGAATCAAACCCGGTTCTCCCAGGTTAGAGTCCGCTCGCTTAACCACTACACCAAACTGGGGAGGCAAGAGAACTCAGCACAGTACAAGGCCATAGGCTGCACTCTCCAAAGCAGCTATTTTCTCCAGGGGAACTGATCTTGGTCATCTGGAGATCAATGATAATAGCTGGAGATCTCCAGGTGCCACCTGGAGGGGGTGGCAACACTAATTCCAGGCCTGTGGCCTATGGGTGAAAAGCCGCTTTCCTTCATGTGGCATCCAGTTATGTTTTTCTCCTTTCCCCATCTCTCTGGAACTCGGGGAGAACACCCAACAAAATTGCCAGGCAGCAGATTCAGGACAGATGAAAGGATGTAATTCACTTTACACATAATTAACCTGTGGAACTGTCTGCCTCATGAATGGCCAATGGCCTTCGGCACTTGAAAAGGCATGAGTGTGTGTGTGGGGGGAAGACTTAGTCCCGCCACACTGCAGCTTCATGCATTTTTAAATCGCCCATATTTAGGGTTGGGAAATAGAGTTCTGGGTTGGAGCCTGGCAAGGGCTGGGTTTGGGGGAGAGGAGGGAACATAGAGTTCACCTTCCAGAGCAGCCATTTTCTCCAGGGGAACTGATATCTGTTGTCTGGGGATCGGGTTTAATTCTAGGCTTTCAAATTGTAGCAATGGCCCCATGGCAGAGGAGGAGGAGGAGGAGGAGAGTTGGATTTATACCCCGCCCTTCACTTGGAATCTCAGAGCAGTTTACACTCTCCTTTCCCTTCCTCTCCCCACAACAGACACCCTATGAGGGCTGAGAGAGCTCTTTCGAGGACTGCCCTTGAGAGAACAGCTCTGAAAGAACTTGTGACTGGCCCAAGGTCAAGCCAGCAGCTGCATGTGGAGGAGTGGGGAATCAAACCTGGTTCTCCCAGGTTAGAGTCTACGCTCCTAACCGCTACACCAAACTGTCACGTCTAGTTAGGCCCTTAGACCAGCCAGATGCTTTTGAGATGCCCAAAAGAGCCACCACGTTGGCCATGAAGCTAAACTGAACCCCGACGTTCAAGAGGAATCTGTCACCCCAGTCAGGAAAGCAGTTGCTTTGGAAACAGGACGCAGTGGGCCTCTTTAGTTGGAGGCAGCAGAGTTTTCTTCTGCTTTTGCACCTGCCTAGCTCCAAACAGACAATAGAGGCATTCGCTCGCGGGAGAGAGGGATTAATGGCCGCACTTCTGAGATTGATTAAAGAGGCTTTAGCTGGGATTATGCGATCATGGCAGATCAGGAGAGATTGGCAATCAACCGAGAGAGGGAAAAATGGAGGGGGGGGGGGCGCTCGTGTGTTTTTCAGAGGGGCGTCATAGCTAGCACCAGCTTCTCCATAATAGGAAAAATGAAGCATTTGTGTGTGTGTGGGGGGGAGAAATACCGCCTCAGTGCAGCCACAAAATAAGACCATGGAATGCGGCACCCAGGCCCCACGTGACGTCACTCCGTCGCCATGGTAACTGTCAACACGGAGAAAGGCCTGGATGCGAGGCCTAGCCAGCACCCCACAGCTTCGCCAACCTCCAGGTGGGGCCTGGAGACCTGGCATGACAAGTGATCAGCAGATGACAGAGATCAGTTCCCCTGGAGAAAAGGGCTGCTTTGTCGGTAGATAAAAAAGGTAAAGGTTCCCTTGCACGAAAGCCAGTCGAATCCGACTCTAGGGTTGCGGTGCTCATCTCCGTTTCAAAGCCGAAGAGCCAGCGCTGTCTGAAGTCGTTTCCGTGGTCATGTGGCCGGCATGACTAAACACCAAGGCGCACGGAACGCTGTTACCTTCCCACCGAAGTGGTACCTATTTATCTACTTGCAATTTCTTGCTTTCGAACTGCTAGGTTGGCAGGAACTGGAACTAGAGATGGGAGCTCACTCCGTCATGCGGCACCTGGGTCTCGAACTGCTGAACTACCGACCTTCCACAGCCTGCAGTTCAGCGTCTTAACCACTTGAGCCACCACAGCTCCTGTGCTGAAGGAGACCATAGGTCTATTGGGGTCAGTAAACACCGAGGCGCACGGAACGCTGTTACCTTCCCACCGAAGTGGTACCTATTTATCTACTTGCAATTTCTTGCTTTTGAACTGCTAGGTTGGCAGGAGCTGGAACTAGAGACAGGAGCTCACCCCGTCTTGCGGCACCCGGGTCTCGAACTGCTGAACTACCGACCTTCCACAGCCTGCAGTTCAGCGTCTTAACCACTTGAGCCACCGAGCACCGTAGATAGACGCCCACAAACCCCAGGCAGCACCCCTAAATCTCCAGGAATTTCCCAATCGAGAGCTGGCATCCCTGTCCGGATACTCATCAACATTATTTGGAGGGACATGCTACTAGTCCCTCTCAATATACTGCTCCCTCGGAAACAGAACTGGCTGAGCCAAGGGCGAAACGATGTCATTGGTGGGAAAGAGGGGAGCAGTTTCAGAATCCAGGTTTCCCTGGCTTTTCTGGCACCTTCACACAGGTGGGTTCTCCTTTCTTCCCTCCGTGTCCCCTCACACCTGACATCTCTGCCCCCTTGCTGCCGAAATGCTTTTTGCAAGCTTTAAAAAAAGGAAGGTTTTATATCACTGTACTGTAATGCTAGGAGCTGCGGTGGCTCAAGTGGTTAAGACGCTGAACTGCAGGCTGTGGAAGGTCAGTAGTTCAGCTGTTCGAGACCCGAGTTGCCGCATGACAGAGTGAGCTCCCGTCTCTAGTTCCAGCTCCTGCCAACCTAGCAGTTTGAAAGCAAGAAATTGCAAGTAGATAAATAGGTACCACTTCGGTGGGAAGGTAACAGCGTTCCATTCGCCTTGGTGTTTAGTCATGCCGGCCACATGACCACGGAAACGTCTTCAGACAGTGCTGGGTCTTCAGCTTTGAAAGGGAGATGAGCACCGCAACCCTAGAGTCGGACTCGACTGGCTTTTGAGCAAGGGGAACCTTTACCTTTACTGTAATGCTGCCCTAGTGATATATCTATTGCCATTTTTTTTAACGTCCAACACCTGCTGGTTCGGAGGGTGGGGGGGTGTAGGTGGGAATGGTAGGCATGACAGGAAATGGAAAAGGGAAAGGTGCGTTATATGGAGGTACGGAAGTCTGCACATTTCTGTCCACACTCTCCTCAAAGCTGCCTTTCAAGAAAGAGCAAATGAAAACGGGTTTGGGGGGGAAACTAGAGCTGCCAACCTCCAGCTGAGACAAACATGAAGAAACACCATGATAGAACAAAACACACTTCTGCTAATATGTACTTGCATCATCATATATTGATTTACTTGCAACAAAGACTCTAGTATAATCTTATACAAAAACCTAAAGTACATTGTATCTACTAATAGAAAAGTCCACAGCTACAAAAACCTCTTCCAACGCTGTAGGCTATCTTGCTCCTGATAAAGGACTGATGAAAGTTGCAGCAGTCATAAATGATGAAAGAAGCAGCAGGCTGTTATATTCGCCACAAAGAGTAATTCAGCAGGCATCAAAGCAGGCATGAGATTTGAAGCAGGCAGTTGTATTTTCCACACAAAGTGTTTCAGCAAGCATCAAAGCAAGCAACACGCCTCCTAGGCAAAAATTGCGTGTTTCAACAAATTCTTCTTCGGGCGGGCAGACATAATTTTCCCTGGAACCAAAGCTCTCGATTTTACTGTGCATAAGTCAACCATTCTAAGAAGGCTTCTCTGGTTCCCCAAACCCCATCTTTCCCTGGCTCTGCCTCCAAATCTCCAGGAATGTTCCAATGCAGTGCTGGCAACCCTAAAAACTAGAGTTGCCAACTTCCAAGTGGTGGCTGGAGATCTCCTGGGATTACAACTGATCTCCAGGCGAGAGAGATCAGTTCATCTGGAGGAAATGGCCACTTAGGAAAGTGGGCTCTATGGCATTATCCCCCACTGAAGTCCCTCCTCTCCCCAAACCCTAGCCTCCTCACGGCTCCACTCCCAAAATCCCAAGGTATTTCCCAACGTGGAGCTGGCAGCCCTATTAAAAAACCAGGAGATGGGCAACAACAGAACTATGTTGTGTGGAAGCCCACCCCCCTCCAACCCTGTTGCCTTTTGGTGGGGGAGTGCAGAGAAAAACCTCCGTGTGTTATTGAAGCAAACCCAATTACCTGACAACATATAGTTTTACTGGCTGGTGAAATAGTACTGCCTGGTTGGCAACTAAGATCCCTGCCCTGAGGAGCTTACAGTATGAATTTCTGTGGCAGAAACAGAGGTCATTTCGGGGGGGAACGCGGGGGAACGCAGTCCCCCGGGTGAGGTACGGGGGGCGGGGCACATGATGAAGCCCCGCCCCCTGCTTCCGGCCGCCCCGCTCCCGGCCCTCATTCAGCCAGGAGGAGGCAGGAGAAGAGGGAGGGTAAGTTGCTTCCTCCCTGCCTCTCCCCACCCCTGCCTGCCTGGGGCCAGGGAGGGCCTTCGCGGGGCTTCCTTGCACTCCCGCCGGCCTTGCAGGTCCACCGCCGGGCCCCTAATGGGGCTCGGCAGTGGAGCTGCAAGGGCGGCGGTGGCGGCCGGGACCGTTGGGGGCAGGGTGTGTAGCCTTATGACACATTTCTGGTGATGTCAGGGGGTGTGGCATATGCTAATGAGTTATGCTAATGAGTTCCCCTAGCTCTTTTTCTACGAAATGACCCCTGGGTATTCCTGTATAGCAGCCTGAATTAGCGTATGCCACTCTGTTTGGTTCTCTCTCCCATAAGGCTTTGCATAAGGATTAGCTGTTGTTATATGCCTCTCTCAGGCCTGACAATGCCCTCTGTTCAGCCTGGAAGTTAAAAACAGTTGAGATTTCAGACTTTCCAGAATCTGCCTTGACATAGGGAGGGTGTCGGGTGTTTCTAACCTCGAAGGTTATGAGTTAACTCTGAGCAGAGTTCCTCCGGTAAGCGAGGGGAAGGATTTGGGTTTCGTCAGTTCTTAACTGACAGGCACTATGGATTTCTCTTCTACATAATGTCAATGTCTGCCACTGTTCAGGGCTCTCTGCCAACACCTCCATTGTTAGGTATCGACCGACGGCTGGAATGCATATTCCTAAATAAGGTATACGTGCGCTCTTTTTAAAATAAGTATTGGCTTTTTATGTCTTCTAACATGATGAATACTGAAACAGCGATTTGCTTGAATATTTTTGCATTATGGTTTTGCACTTCAATAAGAGTTACTTTGGAACAGTTCTCTCTCTCTCTGAAACTACAGGGTCCCTGCTGGTTTCATCCCTTTCCCTTAAAGAGCCGGATGGGGTTGGAAGTCCTGCGCGCCTGTTTTCCCCAACTATTTCAATAGCGGGCGAGATGAGTCAAAACCGAGGAAGAATACAACATCCCAAATCCTATGCCTTTATGACCACTTAGGCCTACATCGGCTGGCTGAAGCCTTCTCACTACCTTCTGTTGCCCATGGCAACTGCTTGCAAAATCTTGGACAGTGGCAACGAAACCAGGTGACGAAGATGCAGCTAAAAGTTTTAATAGCCTCGGGTACACACAGACACACAAACACAATCTCTCTTTACAGGTCTGGGAGCTCTTGCATGCAGAGTTACAATATCCGACACTTATGGCCTTCATGGGACCTGCTGGACCCTCATGATGTTGGTGTAGCCAGTTCCTGGTCTCCAGCCGGTCACCACAATGACCACGTCCTCCGACTGCAGGAACCCACGCACCCGGCCTGTGGGGAGGAGAGACAGAGAACACAAGAGGGAAAAACATGAGAAGGAAAAGAAGGCGATCCAGAAGCCTTGCTACCCCCCTCCAACTCATCTGGGTGCTCAGGGAATCCTTTGGAGGCATTATTAGATTAACCTCATTTAGGGTTGCCAGCTCTGGGTTGGGAAATTCCTGGAGACTTTGGGGGTGGATCCAGGAGAGGGCGGGGTTTGGGGAGGGGAGGGGCCTCAGCATGGTACAAGGCCATAGAGTCCACTCTTCAAAGCAGCCGTTTTCGCCAGGGGAGCTGATCACTGTCAGCTGGAGATCAGTTGTAAAACCGGGAGATCTCCAGGCCCCACCTGGAGGCTGGCAACCCTAAGTGACAAAAAATCTGGTACAGTTTTCTCTCACCCTTCAGTTTTCAAGCAGCTCATGGAAGGGTACATGGCTCTCCTTTTTGCCTCACAACAACCCTGTGAGGTAGTTGGACTAAGAAAGAGTAAAAAGTAAAGGTAAAGGTTCCCTTGCTTGAAAGCCAGTCGAGTCCGACTCTAGGGTTGCGGTGCTCATCTCCGTTTCCAAGCCGAAGAGCCAGCGCTGTTTCCATGGTCATGTGGCCGGCATGACTAAACACCAAGGCGCACGGAACGTTGTTACCTTCCCACTGAAGTGGTACCTATTTATCTACTTGCAATTTCTTGCTTTCGAGAGTAACTGGTCCGAAATCACCCAGTGACATTTGTGGCAGAGAAGGGATTTAAACCTCCCAGATCGTAGTGTAGAATTTTGACCATGGCTCCACACACGCTTTCACTGCCCCGTGGTGGGGTCTTTTCCCACATGTTGTCACTGTGAACAGTTTTTGTCTGGCCACGTACGCTGCTGATATTCCTGATCTTTTGTTTCTTCTATAGATATTTGTATGCAACTTATAAGTTCGTTTGCCATTAATCCATATAATGCTAATCATTTATTGATGCACAAATAATGGTGTAGTGGTTAAGAGTGTCTGATTAGTATCTGAGAGACCCGGGTTCAAATCCTTACTCATGCCATGGATAACCTTGGGCCAGTCACACATAGGGATGGGCACGAACTGGGAAAATTAGGTTTGCTTTGGTTTATGGTTTGGGGTGTGCCCAGTTTGCAAACCATGAGCCATCACAAACTTTTAGCAGCCAAACTGGTTGTTTGTGATGTGGTAGAATGCCCCCCAAGTGTGTTACAGACACCAAACTCACAGGGGATCTCTAGCTGACTCTCCTTTACCTTCTCTCCAAGTTTGCTGAGGATTGGATATACAGGGTCCGAGTTATGCCCCCCCAAAGAAGGTGCCCCCAGGGGACCTTCTGGGGAAATGACAGGTGGTCATTTTGACAGGAACAGGTTTAGGGGGTTAAAAAATGTGTATAGAACGAATCCTGTGCAAGCTAGAGACATCAAAGTCACAGGGGACTTCCCCTGGATGCTCCTCTACATGCCCTCCAAATTTTGCCCCCCTGTTGCTTTGAAGTTTGGTAAACATTTAGATTGAGCAGAGACAGTCTGTCCGGAAATGTATCTGTTCACCAACCCTCATGAACAACTTGAAAGTTTGTGGAAAGTTCGTGCTGGTTGACCTGCCACGAGTTTCACTTTGTGAACCACAAACTGGCCAAAATTCATCATGAACTTTAGTTCGTGGAAAGTTTGTGCTGGTTGACCTGTCACAAACTTCACTTTGTGAACCACAAACTGCCCAAAATTCGCTGTGAACGTTTAGTTTGTCAGCTGGTTTGTGCCCATCCTTAGTCACACACACCCAGCCTAACCTACCTCACAGGGTTGTTGTGAGGATAAAATGGAGGAGAGGAGAATAATGTGAGCCACTATGCATCCCCCACTGAGGGAAAAGGCTATAAATGAAATAAACAAATAAATAAATAAATAAATACATTTTACAGGACAGACTTGGCATATGGAAATAGAAAATGGCACACAAATAAGGCTTGTGTGTTTAATATGCCTCAAGGAGGGAAAAAATGTAAATAAGCAGTATTCAAGTTAAACCACCATATTTGCAATATTCAATAGCATAGTTTATTTGCATGTGCCTAGCACCCCCACCTCTGTCTTACTGGAAACCATTACAACAAACCAGATCACAGTGTATGTAAACTAAGTAAAACACTAAATCACATTACTGGAAACCATGGCAAAAAATTCAGTTGATACAATAGGACATGTTCCTGAGTTAAGTTTCATGTGGTGTTATGGGGATGCACTCACGGACTCCGAAGCATCAAGAAAACTCTCACACAAAAAGGTTTTTATCATAGGTGCATATACAAATAGGGATGGGCACAAACTGGCTCACGAACGAAAGCTCATGATGAAGTTTGGCCTATTCGTGGTTCATGAACTAAAGAGTGGCCACGAATTTTAAGGCAATTAGTGGTGGTTTGTGAAGAGAAGAAAGCATGGGTTTAAATGGCTCAGCTGTTTTTCGTGGGAGCAGAAAAGAGGGGTTTCAATGACTCAGAGCAAAAAGTGGAAGGGAGCAAAAAGCAGAGGTCACGAACTGATATGAACCGGTTCGGTTCATGAACCAGCCTCCCAGTTCATATTGGTTCATGGTTCAATTCATGGATCGGCCACGAACCACGAAATGAAACACAAAAATGCAGTTCGTGCCCATCCCTGTATACAAACACATCAAGATGGGTAATATGGCCCTGCCTGGGGACTTCACAAGGAGAGGCCCTCCTGACTGCCAACATCAATCAAAGACTCTTGTCTGGCAGCCACATGAGAAAGGGCCTTTTTGGCAGCAGCCCAGTGATTATGGAACAACCTCCCCAAGGAGGTGCGCCTGGCCCCCTCGCTTTCAGTCTTCAGGAGGCAGATCAGGACAGTTTGATGTAGGACTGTATGTGACTAATTTAGTCTTTTATTTATTGGCAGATCGAATTGAGATTTCGAACTCCTGTCTTTTAGGTTTTAGGACCATGGTTTTCTTTTACATTGTAAGTCACCTTGAGTCCAGCCAGGTAGAAAGGTAGCTAATAAATGTTTCAAATCAATAAATAAAACACAGCAAAGGAATATTTCAGTATTATTGTGTGTACTAAGCTGGTATTAAGACCCCTTTTTTCTGGGGTGATTATTTAGGTGCATATGTGACCCTGTGCATTAATAAAACAGCACAAAAACGATCCCATGGACCTACTCCGTTAATGGCAGCCTCAGGGCCTGCCCCCCAGAGAAAGGAGCTTGCCCCCCAGATACAAGATGCTGAAAAAATATGTAGGATGCAACCTCGGTATTATGTACTGGGATCGAATCATTCCTGATTGAATCACCCCAGAGACTGGCTGAGCTTGGAGCAAAAGACCAATAGCCTGCCAGGATTCTGAAAGTAACCAATCTGGTAGTAATGTTATGTAAGTAGCCTATCACTGGGAGTGGGGTGTGTTTAGGTGTGGCAATTGCTTGCTATTTAAGAGAGCTGAGGCTCTGGAGTCTTGTCTGGGGCTTGCTGAAATCACTAATAAGGTAGAACTGATCACTAGGCTTGTGGTCTGTTCATCCATGGAACCCACTATTTAACAATCTTCATGCAAGGATACACGCAATTGCATCAAGATTGGTCTTTTGCAATGTTTTCTTAATCTACATGTACACATTGCTAATGAGTAAGGGCAAATTAACAGAATGATTAAAAGCTGAAGTCATAAGAACATCAGAAGATCCCTGCTGGATTCAACCAGTGGTCTATCTAGTCCAGCATCCTGTCTCACACAGTGGCCTCAACCCGTTCCTGTGGAGGGCCAACAACATCCCCTGATGTTGCCTCCTGGCTCTGGGATTGAGAGGCTTAGTGCCTCTGAAGTGGAGGTTCCCCCCAGTAACCATGGCAAGTGGCCATTGATAGACTTATCCTCTATGAATCTATATAATCCCCTTTTAAAGCTGTTTATTCCCTTCGTTGGCTGCACAGAAGCCATAATTCATATAAAATTTAGAGTAAAAAAAACAAACTGTGGGAAAAATGGAAAATTCCAATCCTAATGCATCAGTGGCCAATATTATAATGTCCCTGTATAGATCTATGGTCCAGCCTCATTTGGAACACTGTGTGCAGTTCTGGTTGCTGTATCGCAAAAAGGACATTGCAGAGCTGGGAAAAGTACAGAGGAGGGTGACCAGACGATGAGGGGGTTGGAACACCTTCCCTATGAGGAGTGGCTAAAGAGTCTAGGACTTTTCAGTTTAGAAGAGAGACAACTAAGGGGGAACATCACAGAAGCTTCTAGAATTATGCACTGGGTGGAGAGAATTGACAAAGAGAACTTTTTCTCCCTGTCCTAAAATACAAAACCTCAAGGAAATCCAGTGAAGCTGATAGGCAGTAGATTCAGGACAGACAATAGGAAATACAGCTTTACACAGAGAGTGATTAAAATGTGGAGTTCGCTGCCAGAGGATGTCGCGAGGGCCACCAGAATAGACAGCTTTAAAAGGGGGTTAGACAGATTCATTGAGAAGAGGTCTATCAGCAGCTGCTAGCTGTGGTGACTAAAGGGAACTTCCATGTTCAGAGGCAGCCAGCTTCTGAATGCCAGTGGCAGGAGGCAACATTGGAGGAAGGCCCCGGCTTCTCTGTCCTGTTGTTGGCCTTGCAGAGGAACTGGTTGAGGCCACTGTGTGATACAGGATGCTGGACTAGATGGACCCTCACTGGTCTGATCTTGCAGGGCTCTTATGTTGTTCTTAGGGGAAGGCCATGCCCTGTTGTTGGCCACTGTGTGAGAAGGGATGCTGGACTAGATGGACCCTCACTGGTCTGACCCAGCAGGGCTCTTCTGATGTTCTCATGAGGGGAAGGCCTCGGCCTCTCTGCCCTGTTGTTGGCCCTCCAGAGGAACTGGTTGAGGCCACTGTGTGAGGCAGGATGCTGGACTAGAGGGACCCTCACTGGTCTGACCCAGCAGGGCTCTTCTGATGTTCTTATGAGGGGAAGGCCTCAGCCTCTCTGCCCTGTTGTTGGCCCTCCAGAGGAACTGGTGGAGGCCCCTGTGTGAGGCAGGATGCTGGACTAGAGGGACCCTCACTGGTCTGACCCAGCAGGGCTCTTCTGATGTCCTTATGAGGGGAAGGCCTCGGCCTCTCTGCCCTGTTGTTGGCTCCCCAGAGGAACTGGTCAAGACCACTGTGTGAGACAGGATGCTGGACTCGATGGACCCTCAATCGTCTGACCCAGCAGGGCTCTTCTTATGCTTTTATTCCCCTTCAGGAACAAGAGTAGGTAATTCAGAACACCAATATCTGAAAATGTATTGAGATGAGGAGAATTTTGGAAGCATCTCAAGGGACCTGATCTGTGTTTACAGATGAGGGAAGAGTTAGAGTCACTGCAAGACTGGCAGGACTGTCTGTTGAACTGCTGTCTGTCATTCCTGCGGCAGTTAAAGACACAGGAGCCTTGCCAGAATAAGAAAGGTGACAGCCCACAGGTAGAGGCCGGACGGCATCCCTGCAACTCACCTATCTCGACGCCAAACTGCACACGGCGATCGACGTCATCTGCCCACACTTCCTGCGTAGCGCCACGCCACAGGACCGGAAAGACGCCACGGTTCAGGTGCACCTGGCGGGCCACCTGCTCATCGCGGGTCACAGCAATGATAAGGGCGCGGGGCCGATAGCGAGCGAGAAGCTGTGCGGATCTGAGTCAGGGGAGGAAGACAAGGGTGAGAGGAAGGATCGAGATACCTACTTACGTCCAAATCTAGGAGTGTTCTGAGTGTCAGCCGGGGGTCCCCACTGGGTTTCCAGTTCTGGGTTGGGGGATACCTGGCGATTTTGGGGGCAGTCTGACAAGGGAGGGATTTTAGAGGGGAGGGGCTGCAGTGAGGTTCCATGACACAGAGTCCACCTTCCAAAGCGGCCATTTTCTCCAGAGGAACGAGCTCTGTTGCCTGGAGCTCAGTTGCAATAGCGTAGGGTTGCCAAGTCCTTTGTACTCACCGGCGGGGGGACTGTCTGTTAGCTCCAAGAGTTGCCTAGGGACCTGTGCGCGTGTGCAAAGCGCGCGCACCGGCTGCACATCACAGGGAGTGACGCACAACGTAGAGCACGTTGGGGGCGTGGCCCCGATCGGCAGAGGGAAAACCATAGAGTTTTCCTCTGACAATCAGGGCCATGCCCCCAACGTGCTCTACGTGGTTGGTTCACCTCTGGTGACACAGCCACGCTGCGCTTCGGGGGGCGGGGTTCCCCCCCGGGCCCAATTCGGCGGCGGCGGAATTTGGGCCTCCAAAGCGGGGTTTTACCTGCCCCCACTTGGCAGCCCTACAATAGCGGGAGATGTCCCGCCAACACCTGGAGGTTAGCGGTCCTATGTCCTTTGTTCTTTCCAATCCAGTCACCGTGGATGATTTATGGACGTTCTAACGGATCCTCTGATGGACCTGTCGGCCTTTAATTCCGTTCCTTCTCGGCTTTCCTCAAAGAGGCAACAGAACAAGATCCATATGTCCCAATATCATTCAAAGACAGACAAAAATTTAACAAGCACCGTTTTCACAGAAGGAAATGAAAGGTCGGCGAGTCCGTCAGAGGCTCCATTAGAACGTCCATCGGCCATCCACAATGACTGGATTTGAAAGGACAAAGGGCACAGGGCCGTTTACTGCAGCACACACACTTTAATCTCGGAAAGAACACTTACGACCACCTGGAGGTTGGTAAACCTAGGTCCCCAACATGGTGCCCCCAATGTGCTTTTGGAATGTGGGAGGGGCCAGGCAGCGCTTTTGCCCAGCAAGATTTCTGACTGGCCATTGGAGGTCTGATTGGCTGTGCAGGTTTTAAAAAGGTTACTTCAGCAGCCACTGCCGCTAATACTCATGGATCCTCACTGTGTGAATGAAGGTAAGCTGCTGCAGCAGCCATTGCGTGGCAGCCATTGCGTGGCCCTGCCCACCATGCTGTGCCAGAATTCTAGGCTTGCCAAGTCCCCCCCCAGAGGCCCGTTCCCCACCACCGGTGGATCTGGCCCCGGGGGGAACTCCACCCCCACGTGCACGTCACCCGGAAGTGACGTGGGTACACCGGGCATGCTGGGGGCGGGGCCACAGTCATCCGAGGGAAAACTATGGTTTTCCCTCGGATGGTTCTGGCCCCACCCCCAGCGTGCCCGGCGTACCCACATCACTTCCGGGTGACGTGGATGCGGCGCGTGCGGGGTTCGCGCGCGCGCGCGCTCCAGACACCGGCGGGGAGTCCCCCGCTGCGGTAAGTTTCTGACTTGGCAACCCTACAGAATTCCAAAGGTGCCCGCGGGCTCAGAAAAGTTGGGGGTTCCTGGTGTAGATGCACCGCTTGGGATTAAAAGCAATTATGACTTCTAAGCTTCTTTAGGAGTCTAGAGGGTTTGACCAAAGAACTTAAAGAGTCAGTTCCCCTAGTAATTATCCCTAGCTCTATGACAAGAACAGAGCTGCCCGGGTTAGAACAGGCATTTTTTAATATTGGCTTTGACAGCTAAATGGAACCTCCACATTCAGGGGCACCATACAGTTGCCAGCTGTAGGCTGGGAAATTCCTGGAGTTTTTTGGGGGGCCGAAGCAGGCCCGGTTTGAGGAGGGACCTCAGCAGGAGTTAGATATAGTTTGCCGTGGGCAGCCATCTTGGTCTGAAGTAGAGGAGCAAGATCTGAGTCCAGTAGCACCTTAAGGACCAACAAGAATTCCAGGTTAGGAGCTTCTGGGCTCTGATGAACGGAGCGTTGACTCTTGAAAGCTTACACCTGAGAAATCTTATTGGTCTTTTAGGTAGTACTGGATTCGAATCTAGCTCTAGTTAAGTTATGCATATTAAAAGTCACCAATGTGAGGTCATGGTGGTGGTGGTAGTAGTAGTAGTAGTAGTAGTGGAGGAGGAGGAGGAAATTGAATTTATACCCCACCCTTCATGCAGAGTCTCAGAGCGGCTTACAATCTCCTTTCCCTTCCCCTCCCCACAACAGACACCCTGGGAGGTAGGCGGGGCTGAGAGAGCTCTTTCCAGAACTGTCCTTGAGAGAAAAGCTCTGAGAGAACTTGTGACCAGTGTTCCCTCTAAGCTCAGTTAGTGTGAGCTAGTTCACAGTTTTTTAGCCTCTAGGCTCACACATTTTTGTCTTAGCTCAGGAAGGATGTCTCCAGAACACACTCATTTATGCAGTAGCCAAACCGCTTGCTCACAACTTGAATGCCAGTAGCTCACGAAGTAGAATTTTTGGTCAAAGGACTCCACAGCTTAGAGGGAACATTGCTTGTGGCTGGCCCAAGGTCATCCAGCAGCTGCACGTGGAGGAGTGGGGAATCAAACCTGGTTCTCCCAGATTAGAGTCCGCGCTTTTGTCCACTATTCCAAACTGGCTCTCAATGATCTGAACTGGACACCTCACGGGGTCACGTGTCTCCCAGGGGGATTCCTTCACAGGCAGGCTGGCCAAGTGATGTATCTCATTTTCCAAATCAGCCACCTTCCTCACCTGCCGGATGTCGTGAGAACGATGATGGCGGCCGCGCAGCACTTGAACGAGGCTTCCACGGCACCGATGGCCGTCACCTCAGTGGGGTCTTGGCTCAGCGGGGTCAGGCGGCGTAACTCCTGAAAGAGCTGGTGGTGGTACATGGCAGCCTCAGCTTCCCGGGCAATCTGTGGGGCAGAGGTTGGTAAAATGACGTCTGGTGCAGGTAGGGTAGACAGCTAGGGGTTGGGGAATGCCTTGGTATTAGGGGGCGGAGCCTGGCGACAGTTGGGGCTTGGGGAGGGGAGGGACCTCAACAGGGTACAAGGCCATAGAGCCCATGCTTCAGAGCGGCTGCTTTCTCCAGGGGAACTGGGCTCTGTCATCTGGAGGTCTCTTGTGATTCCGGGAGATCTCCAGGTCCCACCTGGAGGTTGGCAACCCTAGGTGCGAAGGGAGGGAATGAATAATGAGAAATGGCTGAGTCCGTGGGCAAATGAATACTGGGGGGAAATAACAGATAAACTGAAATTAGTTCGTGGCTTGGGTGTCCCATTAAGGCCAGAAATGTTACTACTCCTTGTGTTCCGCTGGTTCCAAAACAGTTTCACGTCCGGCAGGGCTCTTCTTACACATGGAATTCACTGCCACAGGAAGTGGTGGCGGCTACAAGCGTGGACAGCTTCAAAAGGGAATTAGGCATATGGAGCAGAGGTCCATCAGTGGCTATTCGCCACAAGGTATAGATAGGGACTCTGGGGCAAGTGATGCTCTGTCTTCTTGGTGCTTGGGGGGGGGGGTCAACAGGGGGAGGGCTTCTAATGTCCTGGCCCCACTGCTGGACCTCCTGATGGCACTGGGATTTCTGGCCACTGTGTGACACAGAGTGTTGGACTGGATGGGCCTTGGGCCTGATCCAACATTGGCTTCTCTTATGTTCTTATATGGAGCAGAGGTCCATCAGTGGCTATTCGCCACAAGGTATAGATAGGGACTCTGGGGCAAGTGATGCTCTGTCTTCTTGGTGCTTGGGGGGGGGGGTCAACAGGGGGAGGGCTTCTAATGTCCTGGCCCCACTGCTGGACCTCCTGATGGCACTGGGATTTCTGGCCACTGTGTGACACAGAGTGTTGGACTGGATGGGCCTTTGGCCTGATCCCACATTGGCGTCTCTTAAGTTCTTATGTTCTTTTAGATTTAATTATGGCAGCCATAATAGTTCATGCAACATTTTGGAAATGAGATATATTTCCAAAGATACATCTATGAATGTAGAAAATTAAAGAAAAATATGTAATGCAACAATAACAACAACAACAACCATCATCATCATCATCATCATCATCATCATCATCATCATCATCATCATCATCATTTTATTGATTTTTATCCCGCCCTTCCGGCCTAGGCTGGCTCAGGTAGGCTTACAAAAAAAAAAAATTCTCATAATCCATAAAACACAATTCATCACATTAATACAATTCCTGATAAATAATACAATAGTATAAAACAACAACAACAACAATTTATTTGATTTATAAACCGCCCTCCCCTAGAGGGCTCAGGGTGGTGTACATCATTGTTAAGGTACCAAAGGCATGTAATGTAAACAGTAAACCTTTTCTACAAAGAGGAAAAAGCATACTGCAATTTGGATCAGGATGGAATCCCTTAATTAACCGAATGGAAGTCGATCCTTAGAAATTAACACTGGCAGTCTATAATACTGTGAAAATATGCTTCTTGGCCGTCCTTGTTATTAAGCATTGATTTTTTTAAAAAAATCAATGTATTTTTAAATGGTTGCCCAATTAACTGGGGGTATCTTTTCCCCTGATCAACAGAGATATAATGGGCTAAACACTGCCGCCCTGTCATTGGAGATTCGCATTTACATTTGCCCTGCCTATTGAACTGTGCTAGTTTCCCTCAGTAAGTCTGTCTCAAAGGAAGACCTGCATACGTACCGCATGTTGCATCTGCACAGCCTCCACAGGGTAGGTGCCTTTGGCCGTCTCCCCCGACAGCATGATGCAGTCGGCTCCGTCCAGCACCGCATTGGCCACATCGCTGACTTCTGCCCTTGTGGGCCGGGGCTTTTTGACCATGCTCTCCAGCATCTACCGGGACAGGAAGAAAGCAAGACGGATCCTGACTTAAGGCTCTTGTCTAAACAGGAAGGTCTTCCTTCCGGAAAGATCAAGATGGGTCGCCGTGTTAGTCTGTCTGTAGCAGAAAAAAAGAGTAAGAGTCTAGCAGCACCTGAAAGACTAACAAAACTTGTGGCAGGGGTGGAGCTTTCGTGAGTCACGGCTCACTTCTTCAAATACTCACAAAAGCTCCTCCCCCGCCACAAATTTTGTTAGTCTTTAAGGTGCTACTGGACTCTTGCTCTTTCCTTCCTGAAAAGTCAGTTGAAAGGCTTCAGGAGCATCAGAAAAATTATGGCTAAGGAGGAACATGGTAGAAATTTATAAAATGATGCATGGGGCGGAGAAGGTGGATTTAAAAAAAAAAATGTCATCAAATCATGAGGCAACATCTGAGGGGAAGGCCTCGCCTCTCTGCCCTGTTGGTGGCCCTTTAGAGGAACTGGCTGCCCAGTGAATGAGGCAGGAGGCTGGAGGAGATCAAATATTGGTCTGATGCAGCAGGGCTCTTCTGATGTTCCTATGAGGGGAAGGCCTCGGCCTCTCTGCCCTGTTGTTGGCCCTCCAGGGGAACTGGTTGGCCACTGTGTGAGGCAGGATGCTCGACTAGATGGACCCTCACTGGTCTGATCCGGCAGGGCTCTTCTGATGTTCCTATGAGGGGAAGGCCTCGACCTCTCTGCCCTGTTGTTGGCCCTCAAGGGGAACTGGTTGAGGCCACTGTGTGAGGCAGGATGCTGGACTCGATAGACCCTCACTGGTCTGATCCGGCAGGATTCTTCTTACATGCAACAGTCGGTGCAGTCTAAGCCGCTCTCCCTTCCACTGGTCAGGAAGGACAACATTGGAAGTGTCTTGCCTGTGAGGTCTAGTGAAGTATGAATCAAATCAGGGCACCTCCAGGAGCTCACCTGAGTGGCACAGATGACGGGCTTCCCAGCACGGTTACAACGACCGATCATCATCTTCTGAGCAAGGAAAACCTTCTCGCCAGGGATTTCAATGCCCAGGTCACCTCTGGCCACCATGATGCCATCGCTGGCCTCCAGGATTTCATCGAAGCTGATAGAAAGAAATAACAGGTGGTGACAGGGCCAAACAGAGGGGGGAGAGTGTGGGGGGTGGATCCTACCCTGGCCCCACCGGTGGACCTCCTGATGGCCCCTGGTATTTTTGGCCACTGTGTAGACCAGCTGAGCTCTGAGCAGGAGCAGGAGAGAGAGCTGTGAGAGTGGTGAGTGGGTTCCTTTTACTTGCTTTCAGCTGAGAGAATTTAGCTAAGGATATTTTGTGGGAAAACTGTGTTTAGCAGTGTGTGGAAGCACTTAGAGTTCTTGCAGAGTCCTGGCTGATTGCGTGTGGGAGAGGAACGGGCACTGTTTGACTGGGATTGCCTGTAATTGAGAGGAAGTGGAAGGGGCATTGTTTTGCCTGTGATTGAGTGCCTGGGTGAATTTGAATTTGAATAGCTGCTGCCTGACCTCTGCTGGGGGAGGCCTCTATTTAAGGAAGCACCTTGCCAGAGGCAGAGGAGACCAGCTGAGCTCTGAGCAGGAGCAGGAGAGAGAGCTGTGAGAGTGGTGAGTGGGTTTCTTTTACTTGCTTTCAGCTGAGAGAATTCAGCTAAGGATATTTTGTGGGAAAACTGTGTTTAGCAGTGTGTGGAAGCACTTAGAGTTCTTGCAGAGTCCTGGCTGATTGAGTGTGGGAGAGGAACGGGCATTGTTTGACTGGGATTGCCTGTAATTGAGAGGAAGTGGAAGGGGCATTGTTTTGCCTGTGATTGAGTGCCTGGGTGAATTTGAATTTGAATAGCTGCTGCCTGACCTCTGCTGGGGGAGGCCTCTATTTAAGGAAGCACCTTGGCAGAGGCACGAGCCTCTGGCACGAGCCGAAGGGTGAGCTAAAGGGCTCTTTGCCTGTGGCTCTTAGCCTAGGGACTCTTAGACTAGGGGCGCTGTAAGAAGCCCAAAAAGAGCCAGAAAGACAAGGCCCTAGGCTCTTTGTCTTTCCCGTAAAATAATTTGACTTGATAACAAAACCCACATAAATACCAAGGGTTTAAAAGGGGGATTATATTTATTTATTTTAAAAGAATTATGAAGCCAGAATGCCAGCAGGGGGTTGGGGGCTATCCAGTGTTTTGCACGGAGTGTCACATGTATGACTATCTGCCCACTGGGCAGAAGTCTTGGGTGTGTCCTCGGTGCAAGGAGCTCCTGGTTCTCAGGGAACGTGTGTGCTCCCTTGAGGCCAAGGTGGCTGACCTGGAGAAGCAGAGACAGTCAGCTAGGCACACAGAAAAGACTCTCGGGGACTTGTTAGCTTCGTCCCACTCTGGATCTGGCAGCCCCGCTGCTGTCAGGGAGCATGAGGGTCTAGGGGAAACAGGGCACCATGCTGAGGATAAGGGGAATGTGCCCTCAGAAGGGACCTCTTCCCCAGCTGGTGAGCGGCTCTCCTTTTGCACCAAGGAACCATCCCTGAGCAGGGTGGGAGGGGGGCTCTTGGTAGTGGGTGATTCGATCCTTAGGCAGGTAGACAGCTGGGTGGCGAACCCGCGTACTGACCGTATGGTGACTTGCCTGCCTGGTGCGAAGGTAGCGGACATTACGCGTGTTTTAGATAGGCTGGTAGATAGTGCTGGGGAGGAGCCAGTGGTCGTGGTGCATGTCGGCACCAACGATGTGGGGAAATGCAGTCGTGAGGTCCTGGAGGAGAAATTTAGGCTGCTGGGCAGGAAACTTAGGTCCAGGACCTCCAAGGTAGCCTTCTCAGAAGTGTTACCTGTTCCACGCGCAGGGCCGGAGAGACAGGCAGAGATCAGGAGTCTCAATGCGTGGATGAGACGATGGTGTAGGGGGGAAGGGTTCAGGTTTGTTAGGCACTGGGATACTTTTTGGAACAAGAGGGAGCTGTACAGGCGAGACGGTCTCCACTTGTCCCGAGAAGGAACCAGGCTGCTGGCACTTAAAATCAAAAAGGTGGCAGAGCAGCTTTTAAACTGAATATTGGGGGAAAGCCGACAGGAGATGAAAAGTCTCTGGTTCGGGTTGGCTCATCTGAGAGAGGTGAGGGGGTACCGGTTGCTTTTCTACAGGGAGGTGGATTGAAATTGTCCACAGAGGCCATGGCTGGTGACATGGACTGCCGGACAACGACTCGAGATAGCAAGAGGAAGGATGCAGGCTTAACTTGTAAGGGAAATTACAGCTGTTTCTATACAAATGCTAGAAGTGTCCGAGGTAAAATCGGGGAGTTGGAGTGCTTGGTGTCGGAGGGAAAAATAGACATTGTGGGTATTTCTGAAACTTGGTGGGATGAGGAAAATCAGTGGGACACAGTGATTCCCGGTTATATATTATATCGGAAGGATAGGGGGGGAAGGGTTGGAGGTGGGGTAGCTCTGTATGTCAGAGAGGGTATAAAGTCTAGAAAGATTGAGAGGCTAAGTGAATTGGATTCGCTTCTGGAAGTTCTATGGGTTGAAATAGGGGGGCCAAAAGGAAACTTAACACTGGGAGTTTGTTATCGCCCACCAGATCAAAAGATAGAGGAGGATTATAAAATGATGAATGCCTTAAAGATAGCAACTAGACAAAAACACTGTGTAATAATAGGTGATTTTAACTACCCACACATTGATTGGGTCAATATGTGTTCTAGTCGGGAAAAAGAGATTGAGTTTCTAGACACTCTAAATGACTGTGCTATGGAGCAGATGGTCACGGAACCTACCAGGGGAGAGGCGATCCTTGATTTGGTCCTAAGTAACACTCAAGACCTGGTGAGAGATGTAAAAGTGATTGCACCGCTTGGAAACAGTGATCATAATGTTGTTGAGTTCATCATTTGTACAAATAGAGAATTGGCCAAAAAGACTCACACAACCATTTTTAACTTTAAAAGGGGTAATTTCTCTGATATGAGGGGACACGTGGGGAGGAAACTGAAAGGAAAAGTAGAAAGGGTCAAAACAATTGGGGAAGCTTGGGATCTATTTAAAACTACGATCCTAGAAGCTCAAAAAATATATATTCCGCAGGTTAGGAAAGGCACAAACAGGTATAGGAAAAAGCCTGCATGGTTAACAAACAGAGTAATGGAGGCTGTAAAAAGTAAAAAGAATTCCTTTAAGCAGTGGAAAGCTAGTCACAGTGAGGCTGATAAAACGGAACACAGGCTATGGCAAATAAAATGCAAGTCTGAGGTCAGGCAGGCAAAAAGGGAATATGAGGAGCATATAGCAAAAAACGTAAAAACCAACAATAAAACTTTCTTCAAATACATTAGAAACAGGAAACCAGCCAGGGAGGCAGTGGGGCCCTTGGACGACCAAGGGGTAAAAGGAGTATTGAAGGATGATAGGGAAATGGCTGAGAAGCTAAATGCATTTTTTGCCTCCGTCTTCACTGTGGAAGATGAGAAGTGCTTGCCCACTCCAGAACCACTGATTTCAGGAGGGGTGTTGGAAGACCTGAGTCAGATTGAGGTGATGAGAGAGGAGGTCCTAAAACTGATAGACAACTTAAAAACTGAAAAATCACCAGGCCCAGATGGCATACATCCGAGAGTTCTGAAAGAACTCAAATGTGAACTTGTAGATCTCCTGACAAAGATATGTAATCTTTCCTTAAAATCTGCCTCCATTCCTGAGGATTGGAAGGTAGCTAATGTCACTCCCATCTTTAAAAAGGGTTCCAGAGGAGATCCGGGAAATTACAGGCCAGTCAGTCTGACGTCGATACCGGGTAAATTGGTGGAAACCATTATTAAGGAAAGAATTAGTAGGCACATAGATGAACAAAACCTATTGAGGCAGACTCAGCACGGTTTCTGTAAGGGAAGATCTTGTCTCACTAACCTGTTAGTGTTCTTTGAGGGGGTGAACAAACATGTGGACAAGGGGGATCCAATAGATATTATTTACCTTGACTTCCAGAAAGCTTTTGATAAAGTTCCTCATCAAAGGCTCCTAAGTAAGCTCAAAAATCATGGGATAGAAGGACAAGTCCTTTTATGGATCAAAAACTGGCTAGTTCATAGAAAACAGAGAGTGAGTGTAGGTGGGCAATTTTCTCAGTGGAGGGTGGTAAGCAGTGGGGTACCGCAGGGATCAGTACTTGGTCCACTGCTTTTTAACTTGTTCATTAATGATTTGGAGATGGGAGTAAGCAGTGAAGTGGCTAAATTTGCGGATGATACAAAGTTGTTCAGGGTGGTGAAAACCAGTGAGGATTGTGAGGCACTCCAAGGGGATCTGTCAAGGATGGGCGAGTGGGCGTCAACATGGCAAATGGGGTTCAATGTGGCCAAGTGCAAGGTGATGCACATTGGAGCCAAAAATCCTAAATATAAATACACATTGATGGGGTCTGAACTGGCAGAGACTGAGCAAGAGAGAGATCTTGGAGTTGTAGTGGATAACTCACTGAAAATGTCGAGACAGTGTGTGACTGCAATAAAGAAGGCCAATGCTATGCTGGGGATTATTAGGAAGGGTATTGAAAACAGATCAGCCAATATAATAATGCCCCTATATAAATCAATGGTGAGACCTCATTTGGAATACTGTGTGCAGTTCTGGGCACCACACCTTAAAAAGGATATTATAGCTTTGGAAAAAGTGCAGAAAAGGGCAACTCGAATGATAAAAGGGTTGGAACACTTTCCCTATGAGGAAAGGTTAAAGCGCTTAGGGCTCTTTAGCTTGGAGAAAAGACGACTGAGGGGTGACATGATCGAGGTTTATAAGATTATGCATGGGAAAGAGCAGGTAAAGAAAGAGGTACTTTTCTCCCTTTCTCACAATACAAGAACTCGTGGGCACTCCATGAAACTGCAGAGCGGTCGGGTTAGAACGGATAAAAGGAAGTACTTCTTCACCCAAAGAGTGATTAACACATGGAATTCACTGCCACAGGAAGTGGTGGGTGCTACAAGCATGGACGGCTTCAAAAGGGAATTAGATAAGCATATGGAGCAGAGGTCCATCAGTGGCTATTAGCCACAAGGTATAGCTAGGGGCTCTGGGGCAAGTGATGCTCTGTCTTCTTGGTGCTTGGGGGGGGGGTCAACAGTGGGAGGGCTTCTAATGTCCTGGCCCCACTGCTGGACCTCCTGATGGCACTGGTATTTCTGGCCACTGTGTGACACAGAGTGTTGGACTGGATGGGCCTTTGGCCTGATCCAACATTGGCGTCTCTTATGTTCTTATGTTCTTAGTGTTGGACTGGATGGGCCATTGGCCTGATCCAACATGGCTTCTCCGATGTTCTTATGTACCCCTGCCCTACCGCTTCACTGCACAAAGTTGGATGCCTTTCTCAAATGAAAGAGGCTCTTCCTCCAACAGAAAAGCCCCTTAAGATAGATGAAGGCTCCTTGCAGGAAGGTTAGGAGCCACACAAGTGTGTCTGTAACTGTGCTGAAAATAGGGCAAGAAAGGCCATCTTGGGCTGAAAAGTCTAAAGCGTGGAGACAGCAGCTTGGGCAGGTGACAGACAGAGATCAGCTAAAAAGTCACAGTCCCGAGTAAAGTGGGGATACTGCTAAGCCACAGGAATAAAGTTCTGTGAAATCAGGACGGTGAAAAAGAGCTACACATTTTTATCCCATCCTCCCTTCAAGGCGCTTGAGGTGGTTCTCAGATGAACACGTGAAGCTGCCTAATACTGAATCAGACCACCGGTCCGTCAAGTTCAGTCTTGTCTACTCTGACCGGCAGTGGCTCTCCAAGGTCTCAGGCGGAGGTCTTTCCCATCACCTACTGCCTGGTCCATTTTAACTGGAAATGCCGGGGATTGAACCTGGGACCTTCTGCATGCAAAGCAGGGGCTCTTCCACTGAACAGCAGCCCCTCCCCATGGTCTCAGGTGGAGATCTTTCATATCACCTACCACCTGATCCTTTTATCTGTAGATGCTGGGGACTGAACCGGGGACCTTCTGTATGCAAAGCAGGGGCTCTTCCACTGAGCTGCAGCCCCTCCCTATGGCTCTCCAGGGTCTCAGGCAGAGGTCTTCCACATCTCCTACTGCCTGGTCCTTTCAACTGGAGATGCCAGGGATTGAACCTGGGACCTTCTGAATGCCAAGCAGAGGCTCTTCCACTGAGCCACAGCCCCTCCCTCATCAGTTGTTGTGAGGCTAGAAGGAAGGATGGGAGTGAGTGGAATCTAAATAGATACTGAAATAGCCCCAAGATTAAGGAAAGGGGAACTGGAAAGGTGAACACATGCCCCCTCCCCGCCACCCCCAGATCCCTGGGTAAAAGGGCAAGGAAAGGCCACAGGGGGCAGTTACTTTTTGACCCCCTCGTGGTTTTCGATCTTGCTGATGACCTTGATGCTGCGGCCACCCTCTCCGAGCACCTGACGGACTGCGGCCACATCGCTGGCCTTGCGGATGAAGGAGGCGAAGACGATGTCGACACCATGCTCCAGGCCGAAGCGCAGGTCCTGTATGTCCCGCTGGGAGACCGCCGGCAGGTCCACTTCGGCCCCCGGCAGGTTGACCCCTTTGCGGCTGCAGAGCATCCCGCCGTTCTCCACTTCGACCACGCAGCCGTTGGGGCCTGGCATTTGGGGAGGAGAAAGGGAAGGGGGAGAGAGGTCAGCGCGGAAGACTGGCGGGACGGACGCTGGACAAGGCCTGAGACAGGTTGAGGAAAGGCCAGCAGACTGACACCTTTCCAAAGGCAGGGGGGGAGGCAGAATGCATGAAGCCATGGACTGAATCGGACCTCCAAGGTCTCAGGCAGAGGTCTTTCATATCGGCTACCCCCTGGAGCTTTTTGACGGGAGATGCTGGGGACTGAACCGGGAGCTTTCTGTATGCAAGACGTATGCTGTATCACCAGGGGTAATTTTGTAGAAAAAGAGGTGCAGGAGCTCATTAGCATAATGTATTAGCATGACTCATTTGCATATGCCACACCCTCTGACATCACCGGAAGTGTATCAGAAGGCAACGCCCACCGCTCAGGCTCCACTGGACTGTTTTGGATTGCTAGCTATTTGGGGGGGGGGAACATGCAGATCTGTCCTCACAGAGGAGGGAGAGCTTGTACCTGAATAAAACCTGGTCTTAAAGGTGCCACTGGACTGTTTTGGACCAGGGGGGCCAGGGGGAGCTCTGCAACTTACCTGGCTGCTTCTTGCTCTGACTGAGGGCTGCTGGGAGAAGGGGGTGGGGCTTGTTGCATGTGCCTGCCCCCTGGGCTCTTTACTGCCGGAGCTCCGCTCCTGTGCGCTCCTCCAGGAAATGACCCCTGTATCACTGAACCACAGCCCCAAGGTCAGTATTGTCTACTTCAGGGGTGGCCAAACTCGCTTAATGTAAGAGCCACACAGAATAAACGTCAGATGTTTGAAAGCCTCAAGACACGAACAAATATTACACACACGTCTTTATTGGGAAATATACACATTTGCTTTTTTATTAACATTAAATTAGACTGTGCAAAAGAGCCGCATGTGGCTCCTGGTCTACTTAGACTGGCAGCAGCTGCCCAAGGTCTCAGATAGAGGTTTTTCACATCACTTTCTTAGAAGCATAGAATCACAGAGTTGGGAGGGGCCTTAGAGGCCATCTAGTCCAACCCCGCTGGCTCAGTGCGGGATCAAGCCAGAGCATCCCTGACAAGTGTTTGTCCAGCCGCTGCTTCAAGACTGCCAGTGAGGAGGAGCTCACCAACTCCCTAGGCAGCCGATTCCTCCGTTGAGCAACTCTGACTGTGAAAAAAGTTTTCCCTAAGATCCAGTTGGTACCTTCCCGCCCTTAATTTAAACCCATTCTTGCTGGTCCTCCCCTCTGCTGCCAACAGAAGCAGCTCCCTGCCCTCCTCAAAGTGACAGCCCTTCAGAGAGATCCAGATGGCCAGCTGTGTTGGTCTGAAGCATTAGAACAAATTTAAAATCCAGTGGCACCTTCAGATACTTAAAGAGAGCCATTATGTCCCCACTCAACCTCCTCCAGACTGAACGTTCCCAGGTCCCTCAGCCTTTCCTCCTAGGGCTTGGTTTCCAGGCCCCCGATCATCCTCATCGCTCTCCTCTGCACCCGCTCCATTCTGTCCACATCCTTTTGGAAGTGAAGCCTCTAGAACGGCACACAAGACTCCAGGTGTGGCCTGACCCATGCAGTGTACAGTGGGACTAGGACATCTTGCGATTTGGGTGTTATGCCTCTCTTGATACACCCTAAGATCGCATTAGCCCTTTTTGTTGCTGCATCACACTGGCTGCTCATATTTAACTTATGGTTCACCCGTACCCCCAAGATCTTGTTCACACTCACTGCTACTTCCTGGTCCTTTTTCACTGGAGATGCCGGGGATTGAACCTGAGACATTCTGCATGCCAAGCAGATGCTCTGCCACTGAGCCACGGCCTCCGCCTGTGCTGGGATCAGTATCTGGACATTTTTGGAATGAGACTAGAGGAAGAAGTGTTCTGGTGACATGTCCAGCAATTGGGGGGGGGGGCGTGGCAACAAGTCGATGGCCCATCAACCAATGCTCCCTCTAAGCTGTGGAGTCTTGTGAGCAAAAATTCTACTTTGTGAGCTGCTGCCATTCAAGTTGTGAGCGAGCGATTGGGCTGCTGCATGAATTAGTTTGCTCCGGAGCCCTCCTTCCTGAGCGGAGATGAAAATGTGTGAGCCGGAGGCTAGAAAACTGTGAGCTAGCTCACTCTGACTCAGCTTAGAGGGAACACTGTGCATCAACCATAACTTTATTGACCTTGTATACAGGCAATGTGCCATCCAGTCTCAACTGAATCATGGTGAACCATGAATTTCCACCTCATGGGGTTTTCAAGGCAAGAGAGGAGCAGAGTTGGGTTTGCCCATTGCCTCCCTCTGTGTAGCAGCCCCGGTCTTCCTTGGTGGACTCCCACTCAAGTACCTGTAGTGTATTCAAAGCTGCCTTGAATGCATGATATGTTGTGAAACATCTCATTGAAGTGTAATGTAAAGCTTCGTCCTGGGCTAGGATCCAAATCCATCCAATCGTGTTACTGTAATGTATTCATATGCAGACATGAGTACATGCGGATATGGGTGAATCATGCCATAGGGGAGCTATGCAAAGCTTCGTCTTGGACTGGGGATTCAAGTCCAAGACTATTGGTCCAATCACGTTCAAGCAAACGGGAAGCGGGAACGTGCATGATTGGTCTTCTATGCGATCAACCTGATAGGTTGTTAAATGTAAAATAGGAGTGGCTACATTAGCCGGAATGTTTAAATACCGAACAGCTTCAATGGACAAACTGTTCGGGCTATCAGATGTTGGACCGTGTTGGTGAAGTGATCGTAGAGCTGAATAAACCTGAGTTTTCGCTGAAATCACTCTCCGACTCATTGTTAAGCGCCGGACTTAACAGTTACTAGCCCAGGAAGCACCTAACCAATCACCTTCTAGCAAGCTCCCTGAGCGGGAACATCCGTGATTGGTCCTTATGTGAACAACCTTATTGGTTGGTATTTGTACAGTGGGTGTGGCTACATTAGCCGGGAATGTTTAAAAGCAGGACAGCTGCAATGTAAAGGCTGTTCTGGCTATCGGATGTTGATCCATGTTGGAGTTGTGTTCGAGTTGAAGAAGAATAAAGCTGTGTTCTTGCTGAATCACTCTCCGACTGCTTTGTTAAGTGAGCGACTTAACAGTACCAATCCTTAGCTTGCAAGCTGTGATGAGATCAGGCTCCTCTGGGCTATGAGAGCTGGTCCAGTTTAAAGCAGGGGCTCTGGCATTCTTTTCATTCATTCTTTTTGGCTCTACTTTTGGAATTTGTGACATCATAAGTAGTGGAATGCAGGGCAGGGATAACCCAAGGAACCTTCAAGCAACGGAATGGGGATACTTTGCTTATCCCTGCATCCAGCCAGAATTCTGCTATCCTAACCTGGCAGTAAAAGTAGCAAAGTAACATTGAGTTGTGGGGGTTGGAGGGGGGGCAGCATTACGGCATAGTTCTCATAAATGCAGAGAAACTGGTAAGCCTGTTTCTGGACTGCACCACTTCAAACTGCCGTAATGCCATTGGCCTGATCCAAAATGGGCAGTAAATATGAATACGGAAGTAACAATAGAATCTTGGGAGTATTTATGGAAAAATGCACTGAAAATATCAACGTATAATCATTTTAAAGAAAATTGTTATAAGATGAAGTATAGGTGATATATGACACCGAAAAAGATTGCTAATATGAATATTAATATGTCAAACTAATGTTGGAAGTGCAAAAAAAGTGGAGGGCTCTTTTTATCATATGTGGTGGATTTGTGAAAAAGCAAAAAAAAATTGGAGTCAAATTCATTTAGAAATGGAAAAAAACTGTTAAATGTACATTTAAAAAGGAGCCAGAAATATTACTTTTGGGACTAAAAATTGAAGAGGTCAATGTGTCAAAGAGAACTTTGATGTGGTACATGATAACAACAGCCAGAATGACCTATGCTCAAAGTTGGAAACAGGAAGAAGTCCCGAAGATTGAAGATTGGATTAAAAAACTATTATTCTCAGTTGAAATGGACAAGCTGACAAGAAAGTTGAATAATATGGAAGCAGAAGATTTCTATAATGACTGGAAGGATCTAAAAGAATACTTAGAAAAGTATTGGGAAGCAAAAGACAATCTATTTTGTTTTAATAATTATTAAGCATAGAATTTTTTGGAGATAGGATAAGTAAAAAATTAATTGCTATAGTGAAATAACAGTTACCTAGTGAACTACAAAAAGAAAATTGATATGTTAAAAAATAAAAAAAAGAAGTGAATATGCAGGAGGTCGAAGCACTGTGGGAAGCCGTATACTAGGGAGGGGAAAAGGGAGGTGGGTAGGGTATAACGGGGACAAATGTAGAAAATTTACTGTTGGCTGTGAATGTTTATATCCTGAATAAAATTTTTGGAAGGAAAAAAAACCCCTGGAAGTAGGAGTCTCCCCCAACTGAATATTCCTCTATCTAAAGACAATTTCCTGGTAGGAAAAATAAAATGGTCCATGCCTGGCTCGTAGCTATGGTGGGGCTATTGGGGGCTTTGCCCCCTCCCCTAAAGGGCTAGCCCCACAAGATTTTCTTCAATGAATGATTTTTGAAACCTTGGGTCAGTCACAGTCCTCTCAGAGCTGTTCTCTCAAGAGCAGTTCTCTCAAAGCTCTTTCAGCCCCACCTGCCTCACCAAGATTGTAAGCCACTCTGAGTCTCCGAGTGAAGGGCGGGGTATAAATCCAGTTCTTCTTCTTCCTCCTCCGCTTTCTCTTCTTCTTCTTCTTCCTCCTCCTCTTCCACTTTCTCTTCTTCCTCTTCCTTCTCCTCTTCCTCTTCCTCCCATCCAATTAACAACCCTGCTTAGCTTCCAAGATCTGATCAGACTGGCCTATACCATGCCCACCTTCCCTCCCAAGCCCTTGGTAGTGGATGGAGAAAGGGGGCTGTATCCCAGGGACAGGAAAAAGATACCTACGGATTTCCTTGATCAGTAAGGAAATGAGCCCGTCGTCAATGAAGATTCGTCCGCCGACCTTGACAACCTTTGGCAGGTTGACATAATCTACCCAGACAGTGTGCTGGTCACAGCATTCTCGGAGTGCTGGGTCTGTGCTCACGATCATCTGGGATCCTTTGACCAGCTCCACTTCCTTGTCCTCACCCTGTGGATGCAGGTTCAGAACATGAGCAGCTGTTTCATAACAACAGGGATAATGATACTAAGAATAATAAAAGGAAACACTACTTTACACAGGGAGTGATTAAAATGTGGGATTCGTCGCCAGAGGATGCAGTGATGGCCACAGGAATAAACAGCTTTAAAAGGGGATTAGATAGATTCATGGAAGATAAATCTATCGGTGGAGACGGAGGGGAACCTCCACATTCAGAGGCACTAATCCTCTGAATCCCAGAGCCAGGAGGCAACATAAGGGGAAGGCCTCGGCCTCTCTGCCCTGTTGTTGGCCCTCCAGAGGAACTGGCTGAGGCCACTGTGTGAGACGGGATGCTGGACTAGATGGACCCTCACTGGTCTGACCCAGCAGGGCTCTTCTGATGTTCTTATGAGGGGAAGGCCTCGGCCTCTCTGCCCTGTTGTTGGCCCTCCAGAGGAACTGGCTGAGGCCACTGTGTGAGACGGGATGCTGGACTAGATGGACCCTCACTGGTCTGACCCAGCAGGGCTCTTCTGATGTTCTTATGAGGGGAAGGCCTCGGCCTCTCTGCCCTGTTGTTGGCCCTCCAGAGGAACTGGTTGGAGCCACTGTGTGAGGCAGGATGCTGGACTAGACGGACCCTCACTGGTCTGATCCAGCAGGGCTCTTCTGAGGTTCTTGTGAGGGAAGGCCTCGGCCTCTCTGCCCTGTTTTTGGCCCTCCAGAGGAACTGGCTGAGGCCACTGTGGGAGACGGGATGCTGGACTAGATGGACTATTGGTCTGATCCATTAAGGCTCTTCTCATGTTATTAATAATACCGTGCATTTTTGATCAGTGACATGCTCCAGGCTGCCACTCCTTACTTATTATTACTTTTATTTATTTATTTATTAACAAGATTTTTACCCAGCCTTTCTGCCCTCATAGGGCCACCAAGGCGGCTAACAAATGAAAACATAACAAAATCTCATCTTAAAAGCCATTAAAGGTAAAAGGTAAAGGTTCCCTTGCTCGAAAGCCAGTCGAATACGACTCCAGGGTTGCGGTGCTCATCTCCGTTTCAAAGCCGAAGAGCCAGCGCTGTCTGAAGACGTTTCCATGGTCATGTGGCTGGCATGACTAAACACCAAGGTGCACGGAACGCTGTTACCTTCCCACCGAAGTGGTACCTATTTATCTACTTGCAATTTCTTGCTTTCGAACTGCTGGGTTGGCAGGAGCTGGAACTAGAGACGGGAGCTCACTCCGTCATTCGGCACACTCGGGTCTCGAACTGCTGAACTACTGACCTTCCACAGCCTGCAGTTCAGCGTCTTAACCACTTGAGCCACCGCAGCTCCAGAAAAGCCATTAAAACTGACCCACAAATACATTAAAACAAATTTAAAACCACAGCTTAAAATAAGATTAAAAAACAATAATGGGCCATTGGCCTGATCCAACACGGCTTCTCTTATGTTCTTGTGCTTATTATCCCGCACCCACTCCAGAACCGCCTCCAGGCACTGGTTCAGGGTTTCTACAGTCTCCCTGGGATCAGCAAGACAGAGCAGATCAGTGGCCACCCAGCCCGAATCTCCAGGTGACCTCGCCCAGCAGTTTCATGTAGATGTCAAAGATCATGAGGGATAAGCGATTTACATTCATATATATGCCAAATACTACAGTTTTATATGCTATCGCTTTCCAGTCCTTCCTATCTCTACGTGTGCACACCAGGAAACATTCCACATGTTATATGAATGGTACATTTTATATTGTTAAAGCAGCAAGATAAGCGTAGGGATGATTTTTTAAAAAGTATCACATATTGTCAGGTCATGGCTTAAAAAAAAAAAAAGGAGGTGCCGGAACTCTCGAAACAGAAATGAAGTTTTCAATCTGTATACTGAAAACTCATGAGCCATGAACTTTTAAACGTTTTAAAGAGAATTCTGTCGAAGAGGTCCCGGAACTCCATTCCGGCGCATTCCCCCAGAAAAAAAGCCCTGTTAATTCTGTATTTATTCAAAAGGAAGACAACCCGTAATGGAAGACAAGTCCCTTGAAAATGTTACACACACACACATACACACACTAGGCTTGCAAAGTCCCCCCGGGGGGCGGGGAATCCCCCACCCCAGAGGCCCGTTCCCCACCGCTGCCAAATCGGACCCTGGGGGGAACTCCACCCCAACGTGCACGTCACCAGGAAGTGACGTGACGACGCCGGGCACGCTGGGGGCGGGGATACGGTCACCCGAGGGGGAACTCTATGGTTTCCCCTCAAATGGTCGTGGCCCCGCCCCCAGCGTGCCCGGCGTCATCACGTCACTTCCTGGTGATGTGGATGCGGCGCACGCGCGCTCCGTGATCGGGCCGGGAGTCCCCCGCTGCAGAGGAAGGTAACACTTGGCAACCCTAACACACACTAGGCATAGTAAAGGTAAAGGTAAAGGTGTCCCTTGCTCGAAAGCCAGTTGAATCTGACTCTAGGGGGTGGTACTCATCTCCGTTTCCAAGCCAAAGAGCCAGTGCTGTCCGAAGACGTTTCCATGGTCATGTGGCCAGCATGACTAGATGCCGAGGCACACAGAACGCTGTCACCTTCCCACCAAAGTGGTACCTATTTATCTACTTGCAATGTCTTGCTTTCAAACTGCTAGGCTGGCAGGAGCTGGGACCAGAGATGGGAGCTCACTCCCTCATGCGGCACTTGGGTTTCGAACTGCCGAACTACCGGCCTCCCAGTTTGCAGTTCAGCATCTTAACCACTGAGCCACCGTAGCCCTGTATACTAGGCATAACTGTAGAGCAAACTCTAGATCAAACCAAGCCTGAACTCTCCCTAGAAGCTAAAATGACCAAACTGAGGCTATCGTACTTTGGCTACACAATGAGAAGACCAGAGTTGCTGGAAAAGACAATCATGCTAGGAAAAGTTGACAGCAGCAGGAAAAGAAGAAGATCCCACGTGAGATGGATTGGCTCAGTCAAGGAAGCTGCAGCCCTCAGTTTACAAGATCTGAGCAAGCCTGTTGAAAAGAGGACGTTTTTGAGGACATCGATTCTTTGGGTCACCATAAGTCAAAAGCGATTTGATGACACTTAACACACACACTGGAGCTGCGGTGGCTCAAGTGGTTAAGATGCTGAACTGCAGGCTGTGGAAGGTCAGTAGTTCAGCAGTTCAAGACCCGGGTGCTGCATGACGGGGTGAGCTCCCGTCTCTAGTTCCAGCTCCTGCCAACCTAGCAGTTCGAAAGCAAGAAATTGCAAGTAGATAAATAGGTACCACTTTGGTGGGAAGGTAACGGCGTTCTGTGCACCTTGGTGTTTAGTCATGCCGGCCACATGACCACGGAAACGTCTTCGGACAGCGCTGGCTCTTCAGCTTTGAAACGGAGATGAGCACCGCAACCCTAGAGTCGGATTCGACGGGCTTTCGAGCAAGGGAACCTTTACCTTTACCTAACACACACTTCCATAACTGTAACTTGTATGCAAACATAAGACAAAATCCTCTCTTTTTTGATGGCGTACTTGGGAGAGAAACTACTCTTGCATTGAAGTAAACACCGGATTTCAATTCTTATGAATTTTCCATTTTTCCCCAGAGGGAAAAGTATTTTCACCACTGCTTCAGAATTTCCAGAGAATCTGCATCTCTTACGCACAATATAATTGTTTCCCCCAATCTTACCCCTCTGATCAGGCCAGTACGGATTTCCGGGCCTTTGGTATCCAGCGCAATAGCCACGGGCCGATAGAAGACGGGGTTGGAAGCGAATCCTTCAGTCGCTGCCCGAATATTCTGAATGGAACCCGCATGGTACTGAAACAGAGACAATTCGGAAGAACAGGATGAGAAATCCTCTTGGATCCCTGACCCGGGATTCAGCGTGGAGCTATGGTTGCCAGCTCTGGGTAGGGAAATTCCTGGAAATGTGGTGAGGGGAGGGGCTTCAGCAGGGTGCAATGCCATAGAGTCCACCCTACAAAGCAGCCCTTTTCTCCAGGGGAACTGATCTCTGTAGTCTGCAGCGGAGACGGAATTCCAGGGGACCCCCAGGTCTCACCTGGAGGCTAGCATCCCTAAGGGGTGCTTCCCATAAACTAGGATTTCTGACCTCAGAAGAAGCCACATAGCTGAAGGAGAATCTGTTTCAGCTAATAAAAGAGTACTGATTCATCCCCACCCTTAGGATGTGGCAACAGTCCAGTCTGGCCATTTTTATATCCACAGATCCAATTTTAATTAGGTTGTAAACTGATTGTTGTTTTTTGTGTGGGTGAAGAGACGTGTTGTAAAAGAGTTTTAAATAAACGAATAACCTGTGAGGAAGAGAGAGAGAGAGCTGTGAATCAACACAACAGTGCTCAGGTCTGACAAACTGCAATAGTGGAGTCAAGAAAGGTCAGATTGGCTAGTGACTGTAAGGTAAAAACTGTCAGCCTGTTCCTATGAACATATGAAGCTGTGTTATACAATCAGACCCCCTACGTACATTTAGCTCAGTATTTTGGGTGTCAGGCAGAAAGGAGCTACCACCTCTTATCTGAGAACCTTCGGGTAGTGATGCCAGGACTTGAATCTGGGACCTTCTGCATGCAAAGCAAATGCTCAGCCTCTAAGCCATGATCCTTCCCACACCAGAACTGAACATATGAAGCTGCCTTATACCAAGCCAGACCACTGGTCCATCCAGCTGAGTATGACCTCATAGCATTGGATCTTGGATGGAAAAAAGAGTTCCCTATCATTTGCTACCTGTGATCTTGTACCTGGAGATTCCAGAGACTGAACCTGGGACTCTCTTCATTCACAACCGTTCCTCTGCCAGCCAATGCTTCCTCTAAGCTGTGGAGCCTTGTGAGCAAAAATTCTAGTTTTTATGCTACTGGCATTAAAATTGTGAGGGAGCAATTTGGCTACTGCATAAATTAGTTTGCTCCAGAGTCATCCTTCCTGAGCAAAGACAAAAATGTGTGAGCTGGAGGCTAAAAAACTGTGAGCTAGCTCACACTAACCCAGCTTAGAGGGAACACTGCAGTGCCAACCAAGTCCTCCCAACATAAGATGCTATCCATCCTGTCTAAGCTTCTAGTGGGGAGCAGGGCCGGTCCTACCATTAGGCCAACCTAGGCGACTGCCTAGAGCGGAGCCACCAGGGGGGCACAGAACTGATGCCGTAGCGAAAGGCGCTGCAGCAACATGTCCCTTGGTGTCCCCGGCTCAGGAGCTGCTCGCCTTCCCCGAGTGCTGCAGCCACCCCCAAGCTCTGTCGGATGCCCCGGCATCTCATTCTCTCCTACCCAGCCGCAGTCTACCCCCGTGCGCCTCACTGCCGCATCCCCACCGGAAAGGGAGAGGGCAGGGTGTGGCGCTCAGGCAAGGGTCTCTCAGCCTTGCTACTGAGATTCATCAAGAGGAGATGCCTGGGATTGAACCTGAGAGCTTCTGCATGCTCCATCATGGAGCCACAGCCCTTCCCCAATCAGCCATTATTCATGGGAACCAGTTCTCTTCACTGCATTAGCCAACCATGGGGGGGGAAGACTCCTCCACCCGCCTCCAAGTCCCCTGGTGTCCCAAGATGCCTCTTTGTACCTCGTGCGAGCCATGCGAGAAGTTCAGCCTTGCGATGTTCATCCCAGCCTTGATCATCTCACGCAGCCTTTCCACTGAACGGGAAGCAGGACCTGCAGTGGGGAGGAGGCAGCGCTGGTGAGTGGTTTGCACAGTGCTTTGGAGCAGCATGACATCTGCCCTGGGGTTCTGAACCAAATCTATACATCCCCTATGCTCCTCCTGGGACTCAGCCAGGTAGCCTGCATCATCCAGATCAGGGGAGAAACAATGGGGAATTTCACATTACCCAGTTTCACCCGGTTTCAAGCTGGTAATCTTCCGTTTTGAAGTGAACCGGTACAGGGCTGCCATTTCACACATGGCTTGCCCCTACCGGAAATGAGCCGGATCAGAAGCGGGTTTGGCATTTCAGACTTGCACTGCTTTGTTTTCCCGCCATTTTCTTCCCGCGCAGTTGATCAATTTTTTTTTAAAGTTCGATTTATAGCATTATAGCAATATAACGCTATACCGGAACTCCAAACGATCGCAATAGCGATCCCATTGGAGTTTGACGTTCCGGTATAGCGTCATAGCGATATAACGCTATAAATCGAATGTTCAAAAAAAAAAAACCTGCGCGGGCGAAAAACGGCGGGGAAAAGGCGTAACAGAACCGGGAGAGGGAACTGAAGAATACTCGGAAGCGGTTGACAGGTAAAACGCTTCAGTCCCGGTTCCTAAACAGGACAGAAGCTTTTGTGTATGAAATGGCAGTTACATTCCGGTAGGGAACCGATTCTCAAACGGGTTCTGTCTGAAATGACAGACCAGAACCCGTTTGAGAACCGGTTCCCTACCGGGAGATATCGCCCGTCTGAAATTTGCTATGCCCTGGGATGCCAGCCTCCAGTTATTCTGTGAAGAGCCTAATGCTCTGCTGGGGGTATAATGCAGGAGGTGGTCCTGCAGATACGTTGGTCCCAGACCGCTCAAGGTCTTAAAGGTCAACACCAAAACCTCGAACTTGACTCGGTGCTCCACCGGAAGCCAACGTTCCACAACTATCCTTGGGGAATCAAGGCTATGGAACTCCCTTCCCCAGAGAAGTTAAGGACTGAAGAACTGGATCTGAAAAACATTTTCCAACATCGTATTCCCAGTAACGTCCAATAAGATGCCCCCGGAAGAGCTACCAGCAGGATATTAAAGGCCAAAGTCTACCCATGTTTTTGACCCTCTGCAACGGATATCCAGAGGTAAGCTGCCCCTGAACATGGAAGTTCCATCATGGCTAATCCTTCATACATTTTTCCTTGTTATAAACACCAAAGCAAGTAGTCACACCATTAGCTGATGGAACTCACATCTTGTGGCTGTGAGTACCATCAGTTAATTTGTGTGAGTTTCACTCTGCCCCAGTTCTGTTCACCTTAAATTCCCAGCAAAAGCTGTTCTATTCTGGGGGGCATTCAGTATCTTTGTTTAGGAACTGCTCAGGGCTGGGTTTTTTGCTGATTTAGTATGGTATTGCCGTCAAGTCACAGCCATCTTACGGCAACCCTGTAGGGTTTTCAAGGCAAGAGATAGTCAGAGGTGGTGTGTTCCCTCTAAGCTGTGTGAGCTAGCTCACAGTTTTTTAACCTCCAGCTCACACATTTTTGTCTCAGCTCAGGAAGGATGGCTCCGGAGCAAACTAATGTATGCAGCAGCCAAATTACCTGCTCATAACTTTAATACCAGTAGCTCACAGAGCAGAATTTTTGCTAACAGGGCTCCACAGCTTAGAGGGAACATTTTGCCACCGCCTGCCTCTGCGTAGCAACCTTGGACTTCCTCGGAGGTCTCCCATCCAAATTCTAACCAGGGCCGACCCTGCTTAGCTTGTGAGATCTGACGAGATCAGGCTCGCCTCGGCTATCCAGGTCAAGGCGTTCGGCATGATGCTTTATTCTTGGAGGAATTGTATTTTATTGCACGATTTTAGGGTCTTTGGGTTCGCATAATGCCTTTTTGTCTGACGGGGAGAGATGCCTCCGAGAGCTTTCTTTCAAAGCAAAACATCAATAGGCTAATCAAGAAGTCAGTGAAAACACAGACACAGGCAGGGAACACGACCAACTCCTCCCCAGATGCCCGGGGGCCGTTGATCTGACGTTGCATCCCTAACAGACGAACAACTGAATTCTGAATCCAAGGACACCAAATCCTACACCGAGAAAAGCCCAGTTCTGCAGGGTAAACAAATCACAGTAGTAAACACAGATGGAGAACGCAGCGAGTAACACCCAGAATGCACTACAAAACACCGCGTTAAAAAGACAGTCTGAATCTATCCTGTAAGCCAACATTACTTCTCATAATATGTAAAAGCTTGCTTATACACAGGGCTATTTTGGGGCAGGAACGCACAGGAACGGAGTTCCGGCTGGCTTCAGAGTTGCCCACGCCAACTACAGCCAAAACCTCTGTGTGTGCGTGGCTACAGAGGAAGGCCTGGACAGCGCCCCCCCCCAGGGACTCCGAGGCGGGCAGGCCGGGGGGGGGCCTTGGAAGGATCGGGCCTGTCCACTTGCGCCTTCCCTCCCCTCCGAGGGCTGGCTTGCCCGGGATCTCCGCAGCCACAGGGCATCCAGGCAAGCCAAGGGAGGGCATGGGGGTGTGGCCTAATATGCGAATGAGCTGTGTTGTCGGGGTATGTGGCCTAATATGCTAATTAGTTTCTGCTGCTGGGTGTGGCCTGTTATGCTAATGAGTTCCTGCTGGGCTTTTTCTACAAAAAAAGCCCTGCTTATACATTATAACTTTTTAACTTTTTGAGGATATAAATCCACACATCTGTGATCTTAAACAACTGCTCTACTGACCAGTGTTCCCTCCAAGCTGGGTTAGTGTGATCTACAAGCATACAAGTTAGCTACAAGTTAGTGCGGCTACAAGCATGGACGGCTTCAAAAGGGAATTAGATAAGCATATGGCGCAGAGGTCCATCAGTGGCTATTAGCCACAAGGTATAGATAGGGGCTCTGGGGCAAGTGATGCTCTGTCATCTTGGTGCTTGGGGGGGTCAACAGTGGGAGGGGCTTCTAATGTCCTGGCCCCACTGGTGGACCACCTGAAGGCACCTGGTATTTTTGGCCACTGTGTGACAGAATGTTGGACTGGATGGGCCTTTGGCCTGATCCAACATTGGCGTCTCTTATGTTCTTATGAACTGGCTGACAGTTTTTTAGACTCTGGATCACACATTTTTGTCTTAGCGCAGTAAGAATGGCCCCAGAGCAAACTAATTTATGCAGGAGCCAAAGTGCTCGCTCACAACTTTAATGCCAGTACCTCACAGAGTAGAATTTTTGCTCACATGACTCCACAGTTTAGAGGGAGCGTTGCTACTGACATAAAGCTGGAATTAAGCTGGAAGCAAAGGTTTACTTTCTGCATTATAAAGCACTCTTTGTAACTCTTTGTGAAAGAAGATTGTTGTTAAAAAGTGCATTGAGAAGGAGGAGGAGGAGGAGGAGGAGGAGGAGATTGGATTTATAGCCACCCTTCAATACCCGAAGGAGTCTCAGAGTGGCTTACAATCTCCTTGTATATTTAACTACGGCGGCCAGAATTCTTTATGCTAAATATTGGAAATCAACAGAGATACCAACAAAGCGAGAATTTATAAACAAAGTTTTGGAGGCAGCGGAATTGGATAAATTGATTTTATTGATAAAAGGTTTAACAGACTCTACATTCCAGAATACTTGGACATGGTTCTATAATTGGTATGATAATCACATGTAGGCAAGTTTATAATGGACAGACTATTCGTTTATTAGGTAGTATATACTTGATTGAGGTAGAGTTGGATGGTTACTCAACATAATATACAAGAATAGAGATTAAGGTAGATTAGGCATAAGCATAATGTTTGTTAAAAAGAATAATAACCCCCATATATGTGTGAATGTATGTATGTTTATGTGTTTATTTTGTGATTGTGTAAAACATGTGAAAATTTCAATAAAATTCTGCCTTTCAGGGCAGTTTTAAAAAAATCTCCTTTCCCTTCCCCTCCTCACAACAGACACCCTGTGAGGCAGGTGGGGCTGAGAGAGCTCTTTCCAGAACAGCCCTTGAGAGAACAGCTCTGAGAGAACCTGTGGCTGACCCAAGGTCACACCAGCAACTGCATTTGGAGAAGTGGAGAATCAAACCCGGTTTTCCCAGATTAGAGTCCGGGCACTTAACCACTACACCAAACTGAAGAGTGAACTATGACAAAAAATGTACTAAAGTATTCCACTGATGTTATATATTGTTTAGCTTTTTGTTGAGGATTCTTTTGCTTGTCAGTAGACTAGTTGTTTAGATCACAGATGTATGGATTTACATCCTCAAAATGTTTTTTAAAATTATAATGTATAAGCGAGCTATTGCATTGTATGAGAAGTAATGTTGGCTTGCAGACTATATTAAGACTGCCTTTTTAACACTGTGGTTGCATTCAGACTGGCAGTTTGGCCCGATACAGGCACATTTCACAAATGGATTAAATGGGCCCGGTCACACAGCCACATCTGTCAGGCATTCCCCAGGTGTACTCACCCCGTCAGAGGACGACTTGGAGCCGGGTTCAAAAAGCCACCACCTCCAAAGTGGTGTTTTTGTTTCCCCGTGTATTCATTGCACATGGCCGGATGTCTGGACACAGGGGAGCGCGTGCAGAACGGATTTGGCAGTCTGAACCTGCAGATCCGTTCTGCCACTAGGGATTTTTTTTAAAAAAAATTGGCTATATGCACATCTGTGCACATGCACATATGTGGCACATGCGCACGTGCGTCAATTTTGAACTTTTTCGCAGTGCGCTCCATGGCTGAGGCACTGCAATAATGTGGATGCTTGACCATGGGATGTTTCCGTGCATAACCCGCAGCATGGTGTGATGTGTGGCTGATATGCCCTGCAACAGTTTAAACCGGTTCAATTAGAGGCAGCACCGTATCGTGCCAAACTGCAAGTCTGAACGCGACCTGTGTTTTGTCATTCATTTTGGATAAATAAACCAAGCAGGCGCGCTGCATCTCCTCTCCCCGTCCCGTTTTGCACAGTTCATTTCACAATCTGACTACTCAGCATGATTGATTCTGATACGGTTGGTCAGGGCAAGGAGACTAGAAACCTTGTTCAGCCAACCCTCTAGCTGCTGAGGCGCCACCCTCTCTCCGTCAAGCGGGTATCTGTACCCATGAGGTCTAGAAACTTCGCACCCTTTTGGCTCCCAAGATGTTGATCAGGAATGGCCATTGCAAGCGATTCTTTGCAACCATAAGGACTGGAAACTTTGTTTTTAAAGAGAAAGCTGGCATCCTCGGTTAGCTTTCTCACCCTGAGTCTTTTCTGCAATCCTTGGAAACACAACACACAGAGAGTTCTCTCCCCTGCAGGGCAGGATTGCTTGTAGAATCCCCCTGCACATAAAAGCCCAGCCAACTTTCCACAACCCAATCACTCGGACCAGGTCCAGTGTCTATTGGGTGTTGTAAATAAGAAGCAGGAGACTAACCAGTTATGAAGGTGCACAGAGAGTTTATATAGTTATAAAAGTGAATATATACAGAGATATTTACAGGCTATTGAACAGCATGTCGTGCCTTAGTCTGTGAGAACTAAGTCCTCCCCAGTTTACTAAGCTGATAGCTATTATGCTAAACCCCAGCCAATCTCTAACAGGGTGATGTAATCACTAGCTCTAACAAACCCTAAAAGAGCAACACCTGCTAGAAAACACCTGGCTGTAATTACATGATCACTAGCATGACAGCTAGGTCTGACAAACAGATCAAACTGATCTATAGTAACTGCTTGCTACCTCTATCACTCTGACATATATCTCAATAGTGTCAGGGTACCCTGAAGTGGGGCAGCAGGCAGGGTTCTGGTGGGTCCCACTGACATGGACCTCCACGCACACAATTGTTGGAGTGAGGGACTCAGCATGCCTGGACATGGGGGGGACGCTACACCACTCTAAGAGTGTATAGGTGTTGTCTCCCTGGGAGCTGCCCTCTGACCCCTCCTTTCTGGGTGTGGAACAGGGGTCACTAGGGGTGTGGGGGGGAGGTATTTGTGAATTTCCTGCATTGTGCAGGGGGTTGGACTAGATGACCCTGGAGGTCCCTTCCAACTCTGTGATTCTATGACTCTTCCTCGCTTTGTCGTCTCCCTCTCGCACATGGCCTTTCATGGAGACACACGTCTCTGCAGGTCTCTCCTGTAGAGACAATGCCTTCATATCCCCACATATGTGATGCCGGACAAGCTGGCCATTTGTGATGGAGAAAGTACTCTTTAGATAAGGCTTCTCTCTCCCCTTTCGACTGCCACCTGAATGTGAACTGGATCTCCTCGAATGAATGTTAAGGTTCGCCTTTTTTGCAATAGACTTCTTGGGAGATTTGTTTACCGCACTCAGTATCACACTCCTTTGACTGGGCAGACTCTGCTGTATTAACCAAACAGCCCAGTGACACCTCCCCTGCCACCTGTCTGCATCCTCGCTCCCACCTGTCCAGAGTCATGATGGAAGGGCACAGCAGTGGCACTCCTGGTAGCCATAGCAGCCGCGCTACCAGCTGCACACACTGTGCTGTCAGGGAAAGGTGTGCAGGTGGTGCAGGGAGCTTGAGCATGGAGGGTGAGAGGCCTTGCAGGTGGAAGAGGCAGGGCTCTTTTTGTAAAAAAAGCCCAGCAGGAACTCATTAGCATAACAGGCCACACCCAACAGCAGGAACTACTTAGCATATTAGGCCACGCCCCCATGTTACCAGAAGTGTGGTCATCCAGCCACACCCACCTTTTGCTTCATATTCTGTTTACCTTGTTTGTTGTCAAAACCCAGGGCCTTTTTTTGGAGCAGGGACTCCTTTGCATGTTAGGCCACACACCCCTAATGTAGCCAATCCTAATGAGTTTCTGCTGTTGGGCGTGGCCTATTATGCTAATGGGTTCCTGCCGGGTGTGGCCACCTTGGAAGCCAGACGGAACTCCGTTCCTGTGCGTTCCTGCCCAAAAATAGCCCTGGGAAGAAGTATGCAGAGACACATGAACACAGGGAACTGCCTTATACTGAATCAGACCCTCGGTCCATCAAAGTCAGTATTGTCTACTCAGACTGGCAGCCGCTCTCCAAGGACTCAGGCAGAGGACTTTTACAGGGCCAGTTTGGTGTAGTGGTTAGGGGCACAGACTCTAATCTGAGAGAACCGGGTTTGATTCCCCACTCCTCCACATGCAGATGCTGGAGTGACCTTGGGTCAGTCACGAATTCTCTCTGAGCTGTTCTCTGAAGGGCAGTTTCTCTCAGAGCTCTCTCAGCCCCACCTACCTCCAAGGTGTCTGTTGTGCGGAAGGGATTGTAAACTGCTGTGAGACTCCTTCGGGTAGTGAAGGGTGGAGTATAAATTCAATCTCTTCTTCTTCTTCTACATCACCTGCTCCAGATCTTTTCACTGGAGATACCAGGGATTGAACCCGGGACCTTCTGCTTGCCAAGCAGATCCTCTTCCACTGAGCCACAGCTTCCCAGGGGCCCCCAGTTCCTAGAACCTTGACCCCGACAAAGGCCCCATTTCCCCATAATCCACTGCAGTGGCCCAATACAAGAACACTCATTCCGAAGGAGGAAGAGGAGGAGGCAAGAATGGATTTATACCCTGCCCTCCAATACCTGAAGTAGCCTCAGAGCAGCTTACAATCTCCTCCCTCCCCTCCCCACAACAGACACCCTGTGAAGTAGGTGGGGCTGAGAGAGCTCTTTCAAGGACTGCTTCTGAGAGAACATCTCTGAGAGAACTTGTGACTGACCCAAGGTCACACCAGCAGCTGCATGGGGAGGAGTGGGGAATCAAACCCGGTTCTCCCAGATTAGAGTCCGCACACTTAACCATGACACCAAACTGGCTCTCCCCACAGCAAGGGAAGAGAAGGGCCAGTTCCCTTGCACTGTCCTCTCCAGGCTAGACAAGGGGACTCCCTGTTCTCCAGCACCCTTCTGTGGGAGAGAGAAGGGACAGGGGCTTCCGCACCACTCCCCTCCCCACAGCCCACACGGCGCAGGGACTCACCGATGGTGCAGACGATGCCAGTGCTGCGTGCCGTGATGGGCTCAGAGTCGATGTCGAGGAGACACAGGTGCTCCAAGAAGGTATCGGCCATGGACGCCGGCAGCTGCTGCCTCTGGAAGAAGGCCGTGCCCAGCTCCTGGGTGAGGGCAGTCATGTCGTCTGCTGAGAAACAAAAGGGACACCGCTGTAAAAAGCTCAGCCTCGGGCAGGAGCAGGGTTCGAGCGCGCCGCCCACACCCGGCACCCAGGAATCACAGCACCACCTCATGATCGGAGCATGTGCTTCCTTCCCCAGCTGCCGGCTGCCAGCATGGCAGGACCGCCGCCACCCTGTCCCCTCGCCGCGGGCCTGGCTCTAACGCACCTGCCATCTTGTCACTCCTGTTTCCCACACTTTGCCCTCTAGCTGTGCCGCCGGCTCTGATAGACTCTGTTCCCAGGGCTGGGCCTCCGGACTTCCCTTCTCCCCACCTCTCTGCTTGGTTAAAAAGTTACCAGCTCGATCGTAACGCCACACAACATCTGCCCAGAACCGCAAAAGAGCTGTCACACACAAGGCCGTGTCTGACGGAGATAGTTTTCGGCCTGAAAATCTTGTCAATCTCTAAGGTTTTGAGGGACCCGCATCACACAAGACCAGTGGCCGCTTGGCCCGTTACTTCCCTGAGCAAGGGAAGGCTTTCTGCTTCCATTTTAAACATTAGTTTCAGTATTATTATGACTGTTGTTGTTATGGTGCATAGTCTAGGGTAAGGGTAAAGGTTTCCCTTGCTCAAAAGCCAGTTGAATCCGATGCTAGGGGGCCGTGTTCATCTCCGTTTCCAAGCCGAAGAGCCAGCACTGTCTGAAGACGCTTCCGTGGTAATGTGGCCGGCATGATTAAATACCAAGGTGCACGGGACGCTGTTACCTTCCCACCGAAGTGGTACCTATTTATCTACGTGCAGTTTCTTGCTTTCGAACTGTTAGGTTGGCAGGAGCTGGGGCCAGAGACGGGAGCTCACTCCATCGCATGGCACTCGTGTCTCGAACTGCCAAGCTACCAACCTTCCGGTCTGCCACCGGGGCTCTAGGACCCAGGTTCAATTCTGCTATGGAACTCACTAGGAGATCGGGGTCAATCACTCTCTCTGTCAGCCTAACCTACCTCACAGGGGTGTTGTGGGATGACGTGGAGGAAAACCGATCCCACCCTGACATCCTTTGGCGGAAGGGTAAGATAAGCGTGTGACAGGTGAGTATTGTTTTTAATTGGCATAATTTAATCAGTAGTTAATCGGTTAAAAGAATCTTTCGACCGATTTGGGTGCCTGATTCCAAAGCAAAATGAAGCATTCTCATCCTTGTGGGAAAAGTTATTATCAGCCGTAGTTCTGTTCAGGGGTCATTTCGTAGAAAAAGAGGTGCAGGAGCTCATTAGCATATCTCGTTAGCATATTTGCATATGCCACACCCCCTGACATCACCAGAAGTGTGTCAGAAGGCAACACCCACCGCTTAGGCTCCACTGGACTGTTTCGGATTGCTAGCTATTGGGGGGAGGGAACATGCAGATCTGTCCTCGCAGAGGAGGGAGAGCTTGTACCTGAATAAAAACTGGTCTTAAAGGTGCCACTGGACTGTTTTGGACCGCGAAGCTGGGGGGGGGGGTGGGGGGGGCGCCTGAACTTACCTGGTTCTGTTAGAGCTGTCCTTGAAAGGGCAGTTCTTGAAAGAGCTCTCTCAGCTCATCTACCTCACAGGGTGTCTGTTGTGGGGAGGGGAGGGGAAGGAGTTTGTAAGCTGCTCTGAGACCCCGAGTGAAGGGCGGGGTATAGATCCAATCCTTTCTTCTTCTTCTTCTTCTTCTTCTTCCTTCTTCTTCTTCTTCTTCTTCTTCTTCTTCTTCTTCTTCTTCTTCTTCTTCTTCTTCTTCTTCTTCTTCTTCTTCTTCTTCTTCTTCTTCTTCCCGTTCCCCACAACAGACTCCCTGTGAGGTAGGTGGGGCTGAGAGAGCTCTCTCAAGAACTGCCCTTGAGAGAACAGCTCTGAAAGAACTTATGACTGACCCACGGTCACACCGGCAGCTGCATGTAGAGGAGCGGGGAATCAAACCCGGTTCTCCCAGATGAGAGTCCACGCTCCTACCCACTACACCAAACTGGCTCCTTTTCTAAGATTTCTGGTGCTGTCATATGCACACGCACACACATCATCTAAAAATAACAGAAGGCTGCTTTTCGCTTCAGAATTATTTTGACATCTGCCAATGAGGAACCAATTAATCAAAAAGAAATATCTTATGGTTCTGATTATAACGCCATCTATTCACGTGGCAATTTACCAAGATGAGCAGATATAAAATTAAAAACCCAAGCAGATCTGCACCCTGAGGAACTGACTGTAATAATAACAATTGTGTGCTGTCAAATCACAGCTGACGCATGGCGACCCCTGGACCGTGGGGGTTTTCAAGGCAAGAGGCATTCTGAGGAGGTTTGGCATCGCCTGCCTCTGCGTAGCAACCGAGGAATTCCTCGGCAGTCTCCCATCCAAGTATTCACCAGGGCCGATCCTGATTAGTTAACTGAGATCTGATATGATCCGGCTAGCCTGGATAATCCAAATCAGGGCAGAGACAAACAGAAGTGGTTTGCCGTTCCCTGCATGCTTTGGAGGGTGGACTCTATAGCATTGTACCCAGGGCTATTTTTGGCCAGGAACGCACAGGAGCGGAGTTCCGGCTGGCTCCCAAGTTGGCCACGCCCAGCAGGAACTCATTAGCATAATAGGCCACACCCAACAGCAGGATCTCATTAACATTGGCTACATTAGGGGTGTGTGGCCTAACATGCAAAGGAGTTCCTCCTACAAAAAAAGTCCTGGGTTAAGGTAAACAGAATAACAAGCAAAAGGTGGGTGTGGCTGGATAACCACACTTCTGGTAACATGGGGTGTGTGGCCTAATATGCTAATTAGCTGTACTATCAGGGGTGTGGCCTAATATGTTAATGAGTTTCTGCTGTTGGGTATGGCTTATTATGCTAATGAGTTCTACAAAAAAAGCCCTGGACCTGGGGATCCCCCGGAAATGACGGCTCATCTCCAGACCAATGCTCCCTCTAAGCTGTGGAGTCTCGTGAGCAAAAATTCTACTCTGTGAGCGGCTGGCATTAAAAGTTGTAAGCGAGCCATTTGGTTACTGTATCGGTTAGGTTGCTCCGGAGCCCTCCTTCCTGAGCGGAGACAAAAAGGTGTGAGCCGGAGGCTAAGAAACTGTGAGCTGGCTCACACTGACTCAGCTTAGAGGGAACAAGGCTCCAGACTGGAGAGATCAGTTCCCCTGGAGAAAACGGATGCTTTGGAGGGGGGACTCTATAGCATTGTACCCAGGGCTATTTTTGGCCAGGAACGCACAGGAGCGGAGTTCCGGCTGGCTCCCAAGTTGGCCACGCCCAGCAGAAACTCATTAGCATAATAGGCCACACCCAACAGCAGGATCTCATTAACATTGGCTACATTAGGGGTGTGTGGCCTAACATGCAAAGGAGTTCCTCCTACAAAAAAAGTCCTGGGTTAAGGTAAACAGAATAACAAGCAAAAGGTGGGTGTGGCTGGATAACCACACTTCTGGTAACATGGGGGTGCGTCCTAATGTGCCAATGAGCTGTGCTGTCAGGGGTGTGGCCTAATATGCTAATGTGTTCCTGCTGTTGGGTGTGGCCTATTATGCTAATGAGTTCCTGCTGGGCTTTTTCTACAAAAAGAGCCCTGATTGTACCCCACGGAGGTCCCTGTACTCCCCAGGCTCCATCCCCAAATCTCCAGGAGTTTCCCAACCTGGATCTGGCAACCCTACGCCCCCATCCCCCGCTGGTGGTGGTGGGGTGAGTGGCCTGGCGAGGCGACCCGCTGCGCAGAGGCCGTGGGCTTCCCCGGTGGCCTCCCACCCAAGTACTAATCAGGGCTGCCTCTGCTTAGCTCCCAGGCGCCAACAAGATCAGGCCAGACTGGGGCAGCGGCGGCTACAGAGCTTACAAGTCTACAGTTTGACAGGAGGGGAGACCACTACAGAGCAAGGATGAGAGGGAGAGGGCCTGGGGGGGGGACCAACAGAGCGGACACCCTACAACCTGGTGGGAAATTCGACCCGGACTGATACCGTGCACGGCAAATCTTTCCTTCTCTGCCTTCGACACTCTGTTGATCCAGGCAGATCTGCCTTTAGCTGAATTCCCCAGAGCAGGCCGGGACTGCTGGTCTCTTCCCCTCTTGCTATCAGGGAGAGACTGTAGGCAGCCACGGTCCCCCTCCTGCCTGCCCCCTGGCCAGGAAACACCCTCCTTGTCACAGCGCCCCGGGGTCCAGAGGGCCGGAGGGAAGAGGGTCACATCCACCCACCTCCTCGTAGCTGGGCTTCCTTCTCCGCTTTCTCTGGCCCAGGCGGCGACAGGAAGCGAGGGGAGAGGCTGCTGCGTCGATGTGGCCC